CAAGGGTGCGTCATCATTGTGGTCGAGTGAGACATGAGTTAGTGGTCGGCTATTATCCATGTACTCTGTCTCAGTCAGTAAGGTCAGTAAAATATGTTCTGTTGGAGTCTGTTCTGTCAAAGTTATTTTCAGTGCAGTCTTTACGGCTCTAACCATTCTCTCCCAACAGCCACCATGATGGGGGGAGTTAGGACAAATGAACTTCCAAAGGATACGGCGTACACTTAAAAATTGTTTTAGTTTTTCTAAGTCTATATTATCAACATGTCGTTTTAACTCTGCGTCCGCCCCTTTAAAAGTCGTCGCATTATCACTCCAAATTTCAAACGGTGTCCCACGTCTAGCTATAAAACGTCTTAAAGCCATGATAGCACTGTCAGAAGTCAAATCAGAAGAAAGCGGTATGCAGCCCTGTTTACTTGCATGACAGTTAGGGCTATACATATTGAACTAGTAGACGATCTGACTTCTGACAGTGCTATCATGGCTTTAAGACGTTATTGATATTCAGTCTAACTGTCATCTGTTGTCAGTCTCATCCTTGCCTATTAGTTGTCTTTCACAAGACCAGCCCGTCTGCAAACACAAAGTTTATAACAACAATAAAACATTTTGTAAATAATATTAGGTAAATTTATTAAAATGACAAATCAGATTGTAAACAATGGTTGCTATGGTAACATTTTGATTCCCCATAAAATCTTTCACTCCCATTTTTATCCCTTTAAGTTCTAGTTTTCGGGATAAAATAAAATGTAATACCTTATTTTTCATCCTTTTTGACCCCCTTCGGGATGGAATTCCCAAAAATCCTTTCTTAGTACACCTCTACGTATTAAGGGGAATGTTCCCTCCAAATTTCAAGTTTCTACGACCAGCGGTTTAGGCTGTGCGTTGTCTGTCAGTCAGTAAGTCAGGACATCTTTTATATATGTATAGATTACATAAAAGTTATTTAATGTATATTATTTGGCAATAAACTCGAAAGTTTGAAGAATTTCATTAGGAATTTTATTCTGAAACCATGACCTACTCACATCATCCATCATTAGTACCCATGTGGATGTTCCTATCTACCTAAACTGAGGAGTTTGTTCTCATTCTATTGTGTGGAAGTTTTACGATTCGCTTCACTGATATCTTACTTATTCAAGCAACATCACCAACTTCAAATATTACTTACTATTCGCTCGAGATGGAGGGATGGTGAACTTTGTTACTTGAGATCTGAACTTTGATTTAATTAGTTTATTTTATCCACTCGATCTAAGCTCACGTTTCTGTTGCAAATGTTTTGTTAGAGATTGTTTTAGCAGTGTTGCCACCCCAAGGAATTAGAAAACGATAGCTCACCAATAAAATAGGGAGAAAACAGTCGGTTGAATAAAAAAAGGCATATTTCGTACTGTACCTACTCACATAATTAAAACAATCATATACTTTTATTAGTTATCAGGACTTACAAACATTGTTGTAGGTACGAGTATTATCATATTGATCACAAAATAAAAGAAAAATGAGACGAAATAAATACTATATTATTATTATACATATTTGGTTTTCACAATGTTGAACTGGAAAATGCTTCAAAAATGCACTTCGTCCCTGGCACTATGAGATGGGACCATTTTTTAAGCATTTATTTTCACTTTCATTCTCAACTGCCTCATCTTATGTATGCATGACTCATTTTCTTTTTTAAAATCATACATAGTTTTGTTGAGTTTCTTCATGTGCCTTTCTGTGGTTTCAAATAAAAAGAAATCGGTTATTTCGGATGATGTTATTATTATTGCATAGTGTAATAGGTGACGCTGAACGGTAATAGAAAACAGTAAACATTAGGAGTAAACTAGAAAACAGGGACATCAATGTGAAAACAGCAAATCTATTGTTAAAACGGTAACACTGTGTTTTAGGTCAAGTGAAGGTTATATTGAAAATAAACTTACTTCTGCTATCCAGTATCTATTTCTCATTACGTACGTTGGTTACTTTATGTACTAACGTGTCAACTTTCAATGAAGATTCAAAGGATTTTCAAATGAAGTCAAAGTATTTGATGAATATAAAGACAATATTCCTAATGAAAAAAGTTTCAAAAATTCACTTTGTCTCTAGCTCTCTGTGATGGGACTCGAGCCCATGAGCTTTCGCAATCCGGGTGACTGCTCTAACCACTGAGTTCCCAGGACCTAACTTCGCAAAGTTCATTATAGCATTGTGAATGCAAAATTAATCAAATATGATAATAAAGACAATAGTTAACTAATTATATCTGAGTTTTCTCGGTCGAATTTATGATCCAGCCAGAGAAGTTGATAGGATGCCGCCACCCACCACGTCACTCGTAAAACCCGAGGGTTCGGTTTATAAGCTCTGCAGATTAACGCCGTCGGAAATGGCTAACGGTGAAACGTCAAGGTTAAATCTAAATTAATAACACAAAGATCTGTCTGTATTCGTTTATGGATAAAGATTAAATTACGGCCTTATTATATTTACTTGGTACAGATGAAAGTAATCTTGTCTTTTTTTCTATCTTGAAAGTATATTAAACTAACTGCTATTGTTATGGACGATAGTGGATAGGATATTGGATGGTGATATACAGACTCTAAATGTCGTAGGATGACGATAGAGATAGGAGATCAAGATCCGGACGGTGATGAAGCTACAACTCGAGTAATTTTATCATAATATTGGTTTCAGCCATCGAGACATATAAAAGAATATCTCTGTGCTTTTATTTAATCCCAAACATGTATACGTTTTTAATAAAAATACTGGATATTCAAGATTATGGTAAAATAAAGTTGTAATTTTATCATCCTCCGGATCTTGATGAAAATCCTGTCCTCAACGTTCTACCTAACACACAAAAGCGTATTAGATTAATATAAACTGTCAAATGAAGTTTGAACAAATGTTTTTGAACTAAATTACCAACAAATTAATGTATTTAAAATTGCTTTGGCACTTTAACCATCGTGCTTCAGTGCTTCCCATTCGGTGGTCCCTGGAAGCGTCGTAAGCAGTCCGCGAAACCTTATAAAATCATTGCTTTGTAAAAATAATCTATTTAATAATTTTAAGTTTATTTATAGATACATAAATTTAGACTTTGGTACAACATATTAAACCAAGTAGGTCCATAGGTTCGTGGCTTTTTATACCTGAGAAAAAACTCGACAGTGATCAAAATAAAAAGTTTAAAAATTGTTGAACCGTTCTTCGATTAATCAGGATTGATTTATACCTCCATGACCGTCAACAAAGTTGGTAATGTAAGTACTTACGGAACCTCATAAATACATGTTAGATAACAGCACATTAGCGTACAGTGCTCAGATCCATGATTTAGTAGCCCGAGACAATATAGAAAAGTTACATTAACTCGACCAGAGTTGGCGGCGCCTGAAGCAGCTTTCTAGCTATTCAACTACGGCGGCCAGTATAGGTATAGTTTCTACCACGAGTACCTAAGTAATATACCCGTGAGGATTAATTGGAATATCAATTCTTTAACGTCCTAAATCTACAATCGATGGGTTTTCTTTTTTCGCAAAATCCAAGCTATTGTGAAAAAATAAAACGCCAATCTCAAATACGCCGTAACAGTAAAACCTTATCCCGATAAATATTAGATGAAATGAATAAGAAAAGCGTGCACAAAGTAAACCGGCCGGCTTTACGAGTCCGGCCGCGATCGATCCCTAACGACCAATCTCACCTTAGAAATCGACAAACTTATTCACACTTCAACAATATAATGTTTCTTTCTTTTTTAAATTATAAATATTGTGTAGATCTTTTGTTAGTCGTATTTGAGTATAGATCTTAAAAAAAAAATTTATCGCGGTATTATACGAAATTACTTTTAATCAGTTTTATTTCAAGGCATTCTAAGGATTTTTTATTCTAACTGCATTTCTTTCTGTGATTAAAAATGTATGAAATCAAGCGAACGCGTATGCCGAGGTACCTACAATATAGCCTTAAACAGTAGTATTAAATAAGCATCCCTTTTAATGCATAAAGAGGGGTGTTATAAGTTTGAACTGTCTGTCTGTGGCACCGTACCGTCTGAATCAACCGATTTGAGTGCAATTCTTTTTTGTAACGCAAACTTTATTTTTAACCTATTTAAAAAAACAGGTTCTCAGTTTGGCCTGTATGTATGATTGTTTGTGCGCGATTATCTCGCGTTTGGCTGAACCGATTTTTATGCGGTTTTCAGCATAGTATTAGTCAGACTTAGGATAAGGTTTTAGGTGTAAATAAAAAATGAAGGTACGCACTTTAACACGGTATTGAAGCATTTTTCAGAAAAGTATTTCTAGTGTTATCTATTATATAAAAAATATCAATATCACTAAAAAGCATGATATAAAAACTTAAAAAATATAGAACCAACGTCAAACTTAAAAAAGTGACAAATAATACTTATCTCAATAGCGACTTAGTATTGAAGAAAATGCTATTAAACCCATCATTTAATTAATGACCTACAGAAAACCTAATATTTAAGATTCAAAATACAAAATTAGCTTGGATAAACAAAATTCTGATTGCAGTGTGAGGACCGATAGATTACAAAATTTGTAATCTAACGACAACGCGTTCCCCGACATATTTTTTTTGTTATTTTGTAAACAAAATTAATTAAATTAGTGATAAAAACATTTCCCAAAAATAAAATAAGTACATAGATTAAGTTTAGGTCCGACAGACGGCAGACATACATTGCTCGGATTCCAAGATGAGTAGCTAAAGCCCCCGCATTATGGAGTATCTGAGTCAACAGAGGTTTATTTTCTACTTTGATCCTATCAGGTTCGAATCCGTGACCTCAGAGCTGGCGACACCTTAAAAATGATGTGCGACGGAGATCGTCAAATTCTATGGACAGATATGAAATTTAAAGTCCAAGTATTAGGTTCTTGTAAGTACTTATCTGTCGAAAAGCAAATGTTGTGGTTGAATGACTGGTCGTGGTGATGGCGGCAGAGGCAGCTGCCGGTCCCGGTCGCGGCGCGGCCGGTGAGGCATGTGAGGCGCGCGCAGGCAGCGGCGGAGCGGCGGCATGCCGGGCGGCCGCCGGGGGCTCGTCGCCCCGCAGAACACCTTCCTCGAGAACATCATCCGGCGCTCCAGCTCGCAGCGTCAGTATACATACATACATACAGACCTTACCTACCTACCTACGCCTACGCCTACGATATCAACATTCATCCTGCACTGAAATGTTGAAATGATATTAATACTTGGATATGAAATCATCACATTACCCTCTTCTTCACTTCGAAAAGACTACCTTCTTGTTTACCTTCTTTAAAAAACTTATAGTAAAATTAATTTAAAAATACATTATAATAATTTAAGACACATCATAAATATAATTTTGTTCCGAGCTTTCAAATAAATTTATCTAATATACGTCTTTAATTGGATTTTATGGTACTTAGTTGCTCCTGATAACATCCTGACTTGTTATTTGCAGCAGACAGCAGCTTTCTGCTGGCGAACGCGCAGATCGTGGATTATCCCATCGTATATTGCAACGAGACCTTCTGTAAGATGAGCGGCTACAACCGCGCCGAAGTTATGCAGAAGTCGTGCCGGTCAGTTACCTACAATTTCGAACTGTAGCCGTTCTCTAATGTTGTGGGATATCGTTGTTTTCATTATTTGTATATTAGACTCTGGCATGCCCTCGCGCACGATACCTAACTATGATATTTACAGTCGTAATAGAGGACGTAGCGCAGGACGCGACGTGGTGCGCGTGTAATATATTTACTATAATAGCGAGTAGGGGCCGGTCCCTGTGCGGTCGCTGGCCAGTAGTTGATGGAGGTTGTTGGTTGACGTCAGATGCGCGTGGATGTACGGCGAACTGACGGAGAAGGAGGCGGTGGAGCGCGTGGACCGCGCGCTGGACCACCACCTCGCGGACCAGTTCGAGATCCTGCTCTACAAAAAGAACCGTGCGTTTGCGTTGCATTGGTACCAAGCCGCTTCTACTATGCTTTAGCTTATTCTTCACTTCCAATAATTTTCATAAGCTTTATGATAATTGTAATTTCAGTGACGTTTTAACACTGAACGTAGTAGAACTGATTTCGTCAAGATCTTTATATTCTCGATAGATAAAAAATGTGTTATATTTAGACGCAAATATTTTAGGGGCTGGGTACGTTTGAAATAATAATTATTATTTGTAGTGTCAGCCCCCCCCCCCCCAAATATAAGACTCTAAAGATATGATACGTTTTCATATTTACTTAACATCTAAGAGCCGATTAAATAGATTCATACGATAGTTTTACTTCTTTAGTACATGGATGCGTCACAAGAAAGAGTTAGATGCCCCTGTTTCTAAAAGTTTTATTATTAATTTTCCTCTTTGTAGTTTGCTCTACGGAACTGCAGCTCGAAAACACTCCAGGATATTTATGATAATCATCTTCTACTACATTATAAATAGTGAATCTACTATTTATTATGAATCCATAACCATATGCAGTGGAATACAATCAGATCTCAGGCTTAATGCGGATATTTTATCAGATCTACTCATTGCTGAGCATTCCCATAACCACTAACATGGGGGTAACGCTGGCTGTATGGTTTAATGCCATATACCTACCCCATATAACAAATCTCCCGTCGAAGTACTCTGCACAGTCCTCAATGAAAATATTATCTTTTTATTTGTTGAAAAATATGAATGATATGCAATCATATTTATCCCCAGCAGCGACTGCTTCATTGGTGAGGTGGCCAACTTCCTCGTTCCCTGCAACTTCCACGTGTGAAGGAATCGACAGTACGATCACGTATTTATTTTGCTCTTTTATTTTACAAATTATATCACTTTAACATATACCAACGAAAATCCCTAACGTTACAAGTGCACTTTGCTGTGTGTTATATAGTGCTTTCGAATTCTCTCGCTTTGTATACTTATATTGAACAATTCAGGCCAAATCTTGTTACCGTACCCAGCCAGTTTAGCCTAGTAGGTAAATCGATGTTAAAAAATCATATTCCATACCCTAGACTTCAGCTAAACACTTCATATTTCCGTTTTAAATACGTATTTCGTTAATTTAAGTTTGCTGTTGCACCGCTGAAATAATTAGATTCAAACGAAACGCATTATCTAGCTAAATGTAGACAGTAAAAGCGCTAGAAGAATATACATACTTCATAAGAATACAATTTCACTGCTGTAATGCCGCAACACACATCGATCACTGCAAGGCGAAAACAATTATGCTCGTACATAATAAGTGGCAATGGAGTTGTACTTAAAAGGATTATCGTTTTTGTGAGCGACACGACAGTCAACGCGCCGGGGTATCGGTTTGATTGGTCCATGTTATTCTCATAACAGGAAAGGTAACCGCGGGAGGGAAGGGCATTTGTCCTGCCGCAGCTGCCTGCCGTCGTCCAATTAATTTGGCTCGGCGGTTGATGTTTGTTCGACTTGCTGTTTTTATTTGCGGCGACACGGAACAATAATACCTGCCGCGGGGCCGCCCCCCACCTACCTACATACACTATACGTATAGCACCGCTCGTTGTGGGCACGCGACCCGCTCCGCAAGCAGCGCCCGCTCGCCGCCAAGCGGGCCAAGGTTATAATAATTTTATATGCCACTTAAAATTAAAATACCATTAAAGGTCGAAATGACGGTTTGCACTAATATAAATGACTCATTAGGATGTGATTGGCGTGTTTGCGTGCAAACGATAATATTTTTTGTTGCAATTCATATAGTCAAATAATTTTGAGTCTGAAATTAAAGACCCGAAACTGTACACGAATCCAATTTGAACTAAAATTGATTTTATTATTTAGAGATAAAAAAATATTCTACAAATCACAAAGTAAAATAGAAATATTTTAGTAGTAGGTCCTACTATATAAATGACCGATTATCCCCGAAGGCCTTTCGCCGCCTAGCCCGGTACGCTGCAGTGGTCATTAAAACTGAAAAATTAATAACACTCGAGTATTATTTATAATTAATTTGTAAACAATAAATACATTTCGAGCGAAATTGCAATTTATCTGGAGGACTACGACGAAATCGAAAAAGTAAAGAAATTACACAAAATGGAATGTCGACATTTTCGTTGTTCTAGGAAATACGAATAATGCAACTCATTAACCTCATTTTTATTCATTCTGCATTAAAGTTCGACTCTGCCAAGGTTTCAGTTTCGACAGGGGCTAGAGCTTCAGTCAATTTCTAATCATCGTTCTATTGCCGCAGAGGTCGCCCGCAGTCCGCATACGGCTCCAACGACCAAAGACCCTTGACAACAGTCCGTAGATACTTTTAATAATATATGTAGATGACGCTCGATCAACAAAACTAATGAAACTTAATCTGATTACCGATTTAGTTCTGCTTTTTTTTTATATGGACTTGTTCCGTTATACAAGGAAATTTTGCCAACATCCCGTAGTGAGAGAGACACGTGACTCATGAGACTGAACGGTAGTTATAATTAACCAATTCTACCTTGAGATTGTTCTTTCTCTACTAAAAAAAACAACACAAAAGCAAATATCATATCTAGGTATATCATATATGCAACACTTATTTTTATAATTTGATATTATGTTTTTTTAATAAATTTACAAAGACGTAGAAAGCCAGGTTTGTCAGAAATAGAAAGAAGAGTGTAAAGATTAACTGGACGGAGAGTTTTAGGTGGGAGTTGATTATATTATATAAGGACGGATACTTCTGACTGTTATAAAAAATTTGATCTGTGGCACCTTCTTCAATTCCACATTCACAAACAGAACTATTTAAAATTCGAATCTTTGTAAGAAAAACAGGTGTAGTTACGTGTCCAAAACGAAGACGACATATGGTAGTGACGATACGTCAGGGGATTTCACGAAATTTATAGAACCAAAGCTTACTCGGCCCAGAGTTTTGTAGGCTGCCATAATGTCGTCCTATAGTTTTAGAACTACGGGTCCATCTCGTTCCCCATATATTTTGTAGGTATATCCATAGTTCAGTAAAATTTTGTTCTGTGATTCGGTAACATTTTGAATGACGTGCCTGGGCTCGTGTGACAGCTCGGCGACTGACAGCAGGGTATACCCCTATATGTATATTGTATATATGTACGCGTGCGTGTGGTGGTGTGCGTAGGCACGCCGCTATGGCTGCTGGTGCAGGTGGCGCCGATCCGCAACGAGCGCGAGCTGGTGGTGCTGTTCCTGCTCACCTTCCGCGACATCACCGCCCTCAAGCAGCCCATCGACGCCGACGACCCCAAAGGAGGTCAGTACCTGACGACCGACCGGCAGGCCCCAGTAAAAATCTGGTGATTGACCGGCGACTTCACGATTCGGCAATACAATTTATACCACGAGGTAGCTTCTATCGGCCGTGCTGAGCTCCGATGTCGAACCGCGAGAGCTCCTATATTTTCTCCCACTATGTCAGAAAATTTAAAATTGGTAGATGTTAGAAATTAAAACCCAAAAATCTCGAAATAAAATGTTTTGACTTTAGTTTCGTAAGTTTTGATAGAGGACATCGAACGAAACGGGGCCTATTCTGTTAGGTCTGTCGAAGTTCGCGAAGCTGGCGCGCAGCGTGACGCGGTCGCGGTCGGTGCTGGTGTCGGCGCTGCCGGCGCTGAAGGAGCCGCAGCGGCAGAGCCACCTCGCGCATGTCAGTACCAACGCACCGCATGTAAACACAACACTTATACTATCGCTTCCACCTCTTGCTCTACCCTACAAGCAGCGCCAAGCACTGGCACCGCACTCTCGTTTGCTCACTCGAAACTACAATCCGACAGTGTATGTCCTCCTGCCGCACAACCGGCATACACCTCCTCTTCGTCGAACCTGACGAAATCAATTTCGATTCATTTATTGACGATTCAAGGAATAAAAAGGGGTAATTTTTTTATCGTTTGATTTGATCGGTAAAGGACGAAATGTCAAGAAAGAACACCGGAAACTTGTAAAATGACCCTCGAATTAATGAAAGTATGATATCTCATTTTACGCTTTGGCTAAATGCTCGCAAAAATTAGCAGTATTTAAGTAATCAGCCGATATCTATTGTATAAGCGAAGGACTCGTGTGACTTATGACTGGCTGATTGCACTTAAGTTAAATAGCTTCGGCATAAATATTATTGCAAAATTAAAAACTATGTATACAATTTTATAGGAGGATTGTGTTTCGACTGAGAAAACAGATTTAAATTTATCTTCCGTGATCTTTACGCAAGCGTCGCATCATAATTACCAAAATACAACGATTGACGATGACGGCAAAATACATAGACAGACAAATACTTAAATATTGATTAAGAGTACCTACGTACGAGTATTCACCTCATGACACTCGAAGGCCTATTATATTTGTCCGTAAATGAAATTTTGTCTATTTTTGAAATGCTAATTCGTCCTCCAAAGAAACGCATATTTCGATAATTTATGATGCAACGGAGGTAGGTGCTGAACCTCCCTCTGATGCACAGATAATCCTCTCGGAAATGATTTTAATAAAATTATAAAAACGATCCGAAATTTTCCGAATTTTCGTCGGAGAACAAATAGAAATCTATACTATTATAGAATATGCTCTCGGGTTTCATGTTATTTCGCAGAAATTATAATTCAGCGACGTTTGCGAGGTAACGCTCCTAAATGTTGAACCAAAAATATAAAAATAGTCTCGAAACTTTGTGATTTTAAACAAATACGTATATATTAGAGTATTCGATGTAAATTATGTAAAAAATGTTTTTGGTTTGACTCATATGATATTATCATATGATTTACTTAACATTGAATAATTTTATGGTTTTTTATTATTGTTAAAATATGACTTAATATAAAATACTTATCTGACTGAGTTCGACACCCGCTTATTATTGTGCCAAATACACTTTCAATGGTCTGCCGCAATAATAACAATTGCACTTTGTTTATAAACACCTACAATCTACATACTTTCGCTAGATTTTCATAACTGAAATTGCGTGTGACAAAACCACAAACCTACAATTATGCGTACAATCCATTCATCCGATCTCTATCTAAACCCGCATCCATATCTAGTTTGTTATTGGTAGATATGTACTTATCTTACGTATACATACTGTAATCCTATTCTTCATGTCAGAGCCTCGAGGGGGTAGGTAGGAAAGGATAGCCGGTTGGATCGGGACGGGAATGATTTGTACGTGTATGCACTCCGTATTTTAATCTGAAATTAAGCTCACTGTAATTATCGTGACTCACTTATTTTCGTAGCTCAGTAAATAAGCATTTCTCGGGTGCTTCGGTACTCCATTGTGCATAGCGAAAAGAAAATCGGTCTATCGAAAAGTGAGTCCAACGACGTGTGTAGATGCGTACGTGGGCGTGCGCGCGTGTGCCCGCAGGTGATGTCGCTGTCGGGCGACGTGCTGCCGCAGTACCGGCAGGAGGCGCCCAAGACGCCGCCGCACATCCTGCTGCACTACTGCGCCTTCAAGGCGATCTGGGACTGGATCATCCTGTGCCTCACCTTCTACACCGCCATCATGGTGCCCTACAACGTCGCCTTCAAGAACAAGACCAGCGAGGACGTCTCGCTGCTCGTCATCGACTCCATAGTGGACGTCGTATTCTTCATAGACATCGTGCTCAACTTCCACACGACGTTCGTCGGCCCGGGAGGGGAGGTCGTCAGCGATCCCAAGGTCATCCGGAAGAACTACTTCAAGTCCTGGTTCCTCATCGACTTGCTCTCGTGCCTGCCTTACGACGTGTTCAACGCGTTCGACCACGACGAGGACGTGAGTATGTCTGCAATAAAGCGACGGATCGACCTCCGGTCGCATACTGAACACAATCGACCGGTACTATATGTGATGTTACGGTGCGTGCGCAGGGCATAGGCAGCCTGTTCAGCGCCCTGAAAGTGGTCCGGCTGCTTCGGCTGGGCCGCGTGGTCCGCAAGCTGGACCGGTACCTGGAGTACGGCGCGGCGATGCTGATCCTGCTGCTGTGCTTCTACATGCTGGTGGCGCACTGGCTGGCCTGCGTGTGGTACAGCATCGGCCGCTCGGACGCGGACTCGGGGCTGCAGTACTCGTGGCTGTGGAAGCTCGCCAACGTCACGCAGACGCCCTACTCGTACGTGTGGTCCAACGAGTCCGACGGGCCCGAGCTCGTGAACGGGCCCTCGCGCAAGACCATGTACGTGACCGCGCTCTACTTCACCATGACCTGTATGACCTCCGTGGGCTTCGGCAACGTCGCCGCCGAGACCGATAACGAGAAGATCTTCACCATCTGCATGATGATAGTGGCAGGTGCAGGACTCTTCTGTTATTAGCCGGAGCACGCGTGCGACCTCCCCGCAGCGCGCGGGTGTTCCCCTGCCCCACCTCGTGGGGTACCGGGGATCCCCCGCCGCCGCCGCTGCCTCGGAGGCCGCACCAGTCCGATCCTTCTCCCCGCTTCCCGTTCTGTCTTCCCTGTTTCCTTCTATGTTCGCACGTTTTATCGTCCCGCCGATCGCTAAGTTTAACAGTCGTGTGCCGCACCGTCTGACGTTTGTGTGCTCGCACCGTTAGTGCACATTTCATGGTTGTTTTATGTTTTCATTCACTGAAAAGAATCGTCGATTTGCGATCAGATATTTTTATTTCTTTTTTACTTTATGACAAATTGTTTTTTCCGACCGTAGAAAATATTTGTGCCCCAGCAAATCAATATAATAATTTGCGATAAAATCGAACTCATGAGCCCTATTTAATCCTTATTATTTTAAATATATTGATATCTCCCCTCCCCCTTCCCTCACTCGTGCAGGCCCACGAAGCGTCCCCGCGAGTTACTCGTAAACGTGATCTGCAACCGAACTGGTAACCGAAGCTCGGTCAATAACTAGTTCGCGGTGCTCTCTCACCTTTTCAAAAACATCATATGCATTAATGATGTTTTTGACATTAGACCGACGATACACCCTCGGCCTAGTTACAATAAAGTTATTAGACATAGATTGACAATACCTACCATAGTTAGTATTATAATAAAGAAATAACACATCAGAGTCGACTTCACCGAACCGAATCATTCAAATATCATGCGCGTGAGTGAGGCAGCATGTAGCACATCGTAACAATAATGCTCGCATATCATCTCTCAATTTGTGTGCCGAGTTTCATGTCCAAAATTTCATAGCGTTAATGTCGGTTTCATTATACATCAGAAGCGCCCCCGGTCGGCGCCCACCGAATGCCATAAGAATCGAAGTAAATATTAACAGAAACGAGTAGCGAAACCTCTCAATCAGAACACAGATCGCTGAGTTCCGTTGACTTGCAGCACTACTGTACGCGACGATTTTCGGGCACGTGACGACAATAATCCAGCAGATGACGTCGGCGACGGCGAAGTACCACGACATGCTGAATAACGTCCGGGAATTCATGAAGCTCCACGAAGTGCCCAAGGCGCTGAGCGAGCGCGTCATGGACTACGTCGTCTCCACGTGGGCCATGACCAAGGGGCTCGACACGGACAAGGTACGCGCGAGACACTCGCACGCGTTCGGTACCGGCACCGGCAATGTTGACACGAGTAATATCGTGTACGGTCGCACGCAGGTCCTCAACTACTGCCCGAAAGACATGAAGGCGGACATCTGCGTGCACCTGAACCGCAAGGTGTTCAACGAGCACCCGGCGTTCCGGCTGGCGTCGGACGGCTGCCTGCGCGCGCTGGCGATGCACTTCCACATGTCGCACTCCGCGCCCGGGGACCTGCTGTACCACACCGGCGAGTCCATCGACTCCCTGTGCTTCATCGTCACCGGCAGCCTCGAGGTCATCCAAGACGACGAGGTCGTCGCCATTCTCGGTGCGCTTCGTAGACCCATATCTTTAAAATATTACAATTATCACGTGCCGTTGTCGTCTGTTTATCGAGTGAGTGATGTTTCTTGTAAAAGATACGTACGTGCAGCTGATCTTCTGCAATCGATCGGTCCCGTGGCACGGGGTCCTGCCATCGAACAAATCAGTATAGTGGTAAAGAATGAAAGCTCGATATACCTATATTTAAATTTTTTTTTTCAACTGTGCTCTCCGTATCGTTTGCAAGGCATCAGCTCGTAGAACGGCGATGAAGTAGGTACATTTAGTTCCGGACGAGTGATAGATTCGCGTGCCGCAGGCAAGGGCGACGTGTTCGGCGACTCGTTCTGGAAGGACAGCGCCGTCGGCCAGTCGGCGGCCAACGTGCGCGCGCTCACGTACTGCGACCTGCACACGATCAAGCGCGACCGCCTGCTGGAGGTGCTCGACTTCTACCAGGCCTTCGCCAACAGCTTCGCGCGCAACCTCACGCTCACCTACAATCTTAGACACCGACTGATTTTTCGCAAGGTGAGACGAAGCGGCGAGAGCGATCGAGGACACCTCTCGAAAGAAGCAGCACAGAGGGGTCTGTAACTTTCCTTCGAATTAGGATAAATGTAATTTAAAGTACATTCGACCGTCGGCCTCCCGTCGAATGGTGATCGTAGAAGGCGATGAAATAAATTGACACTTAATTATTATATTAGATCGATTTAGCATTCACAATTCTGTACTTACAGATATCATATACATATAGGTAGGACGAATGTCAAATTACACAGAACGAGTCGAGGTACCCTTTTATTATATTCATCTCACCATAAGTAATGTCTTTTTAGGCTCGGTCGTATCTTACTAATATTATAAGTGAAAGTATGTAATTAGGATTCGAGTTAATTCTTCACGCAAAAACTTCTGAACGGATTTTGATGGAATTTGGTATATGGAAAATACGGATGAAGTCTGAATTAACATATTGACTACTTTTCATACGGAAATCTTTGTAGAATAAATTCATACTCGTTCTTCTTCGGCCTATCAGAACTTTCAATGTTTTCTAACTGCATCGTCCTATTTGACATTTCAATATTTTCATAATGTTTCGTAGTCCAAACAATCGTAGTTATAAATTATTATCGCCAATAATACACGGAAGTTGCAAACGGTGCAATGCTTATGAACGCGGCGACATAAATCATTCTTATTCGCATACAATGTCACGTCACATCCTCGCCCGTGAGCGATCCGGTATCACGGCCGGGGAGTTCCTGACGTCATACCGGCAGGGCGGATAATTATCATTTTTTGGCTCAGCAACGTAAACCTGTCGAATAAAATAGCCCATTCCCAACTCTCCGTCCCCGTCTGCAGGTGGCGGACGTGCGTCGCGAGCGGGAACTGATGGAACGACGCAAGCGGGAGCCGCAGCTCGAGCAGGCCCAGGACCACCTCGTGAGAAAGATATTCTCTCGCTTCCGACGCGAGCGCAGCGTCGCCGCCGCCCCGGGGCCCGCGCCCGCCCGCACCTCGCCCGCCCCCTCCGCCGCCCCCGCGCCCGCCTCCGCCCCCGCCCCTGCGCCCGCGGACCCCGAGCGAGGGGACGCGCCCGCGCCCGTCCCTGCGCCGGCGCCCGCGGCCAGCGCGGCGCGGGGCAAGTGGGGCCGCCTGCTGGCGGGGGGCGGGTCGCTGGACGCCGCGGGGGCGGGGGCGGCGACGGGGGGCGCCGCTCCCGCCGGGGCCGAAGGGGCGCGGATCGCTTTCGCCCGAAGTCTAAGTGCGCGAGACAAACCACCGCCGTCTACCGCCGACGCTCCCTCTGCGACGACGCATACCCTGAAGGTGAAGTTTATAACAAAAAGTTTCTAGACTTTTACTTTTGAATCATATTGTGTCAAATATTTAACGAAATTAAATATTTCAAGATCCGTAAACGTCTGTTCTACAAATGTATGATGATTCGATTTGATTCGGTCGACCGTCCGTCTTTTCCGCTACCCGTTCGAGACGTCTTTTGACCGATAAGAAAACGAGATGGCTTATGCTCATCCTCTGACTTAACTCACGGTGAATAGTTTATTTTGGTTCATATCACAAGGCTCAGTTCGTGAAAGCCCGGTCTGCGACCGCTCTGGGCGTGGGGGCGAGCGCTCGCCAGGACACTATCGAGGAGGAGCTGGACGAGCGTCGCCCTCCCGCCCCCGCCCCCGCCTCCGCCTCCGCGCACGACGCGGCGCTCAATGAGTTACGGAGAGACGTCCGAAACGAGGTGCAACGGCTCCAGCAGAAGGTACGAACGAGAGAAAGAAGTAGTTCGTTCGGCCCGCGTTAACGAAGCATAGGAAAGTAACAGAGCGATCGATTCGACAGCTGGGTCGGGTGGAGGACTTGCTGACGATGTTGGCGGCCCGCCTGGGGGCGGACACGGACGCCCCCGCCCCCGCCGCCGCCGCCCCCGCCGAGGACGACCGACCGCGCGGGGCGGCCGAAGCTGCCGCGCTAAGGAAACGACGCTCCAAGGTGACACGCTCCCGATTACCATATTGTTATCATACGTAGATATAAAAATTATTCGAAGCGATCCTTCGCTTGATCGTGTCGTTTTTTTACAACCTTCGAGTTGGTCACAACCGATTCTCGATATTCGTTCGTTACTCCGAATAGATCCGTCCACCCCCCACTTCCCTATCTAAGTACAGCGAAAGCCTCGGGATTCAGAACGTAGACGGAACCCTCTTTCCTTCCGTCGACCGGTTGTGATGCGGTTCGGTCATCCCTCATGATCGCTTTATGTTTATTCTGCAGGCGCGCAGCAAGGGAACTGCGCCGCAAGTGCCGACGCCCACCACGCCAACGGAGCCGCCGGGCGGGGGCGGGGGCGGGGGCGCGGTCGCGGGGGCGGCGGCGGAGGGCGGGGCGGCGGCGCGGCGGCGCGAGTTCGTGTAGCGCGCGGCGGCGACCGAGCCCGCCGCCGCCGCTCGGCCGCCCGCCGCCGCCGCCCCCTCGGCCCCCGCCCCCGCGCAGCCCCCCGCCCGGTGAGGGGCAGCGTCTGTACATATCCGCTCGCCGTCGACCTCGCGTCGCGGCCCGCGAAGTGATACTCGAACGTTACGTTTGGATCGGTTTTTCTACTGTCCTCCCGCGCTCGGCGATGCGGGATCGAGGACCGGACATCGAGACGAGATCGTCTTCGAAGTGACCGTGCATTGACGTTTATATTTCTTAAACTTCTTCGTTGATTTAAGCGACACTCTCAGAGAAGCAGCACCGCGTTTGATTATCGGTAATATAAAGTGCGCATCGGTTTATGACGCGGCCCTCGGTACGAACGTTCGCTCGGCGCTCCCCTCGAGCGGTCGTTTGTCCGCGGAGCCGCTCGTTGTTATGTTTTGAAAGTTTATTGCGTAGCACTCGACGCTATCGGGACCTCGGCGGTCGCTTCCGACTCGCCGGCGAACCTACCCATTGTCTTTTTATCGAAAAATATATCGATTATAAAAATAATATTGTTTTATTTAAGAATTTAATAATCTATACAGCTTAGATCAAGTTTATATATGTCTGATAAATATTATCGTCATGCACACTTGTAAAAACCCAAATTTAAAAAATAAGTATCAAAAAAATTAAAAATCTTTGATTAGAGCAAAGTGCAGCAAAAGTGCATCTTCTATTATATGGCTACACAAGCAATAAATATAATGTACCTCTATCTGTAAATATTCTAAAACGAAGGTCTCCGCCGCGTCTGGGTGCCGCCTGGCGGCTGGCGGGCGGGTGGGGCTTTGATATCGAGGGACGAACTCGGTTCACATTTTTTTTCGTCTTTTGATATCACGCATTTTTTAATGTTCTTTTTAAATGCTATTTTAATAAAAAATTTCTCAATGATTTAAAACAAAGTTTATTTGTGTTAATGATGAGTCGCTGGAAGATTTGTGAGTTTATCGAGTTTGATTAACGATCCCGTTGTTAAAGGAGTATTACCCCATTCAAACATTTTTTTTGCAGAATTGCTCTTTTAAAATAACGTAGGTTAATGTTAGACTGATCTCTCTACATTAATTTAGGAAATTTTACACTCGGTTTCTTAATTGAGAATTTAAAGTTAAACAGCTCAAACTAACGTTACTTAGTTTTCGTTTCCGATTTTAGTTTTTTGATGATCAGTTGTTAGCAGTTTGATAAAACTAGGACTATTTGACTTGTGAGATTAAAAAACTTAGGTTATTGAGAATAAGCAGTAGAAATTTTCTACTTTTTTCAAATCAGAAACCGGCTGTTAGTTTGTAAATCGATTTAAGCATTTTGACTGCCTTGTTTATTGATTGTCTGGTAGAATTTGTATGAAAGCAGTTTTATAAATCACAAACTAGTTTATTTCGTTTTTAGAAATGAAGAAGTCAATGACCGATTTAAAACTTTTTCTTAGTACGTCCCAAAAACAGCTGACTCAGGGTTGAAAACACTCATTTTTTTCAAAAACTTTGTAATTTAATATCTCCGAAACTATTTGACCTAGACTTATATTTTATTTACATCATATTAAAGACAAATAGTACTCTCCAGGAATCTCGGGAGTGTCGGTCGTTCTGTTCCACCGAGTACAGTTAAATACAGTTAAGTTATGGTACACAGTAGGGTTAACAGAATTATGTCCCTGCTTAATTCATCGACACCAATTTACAAAAAAGAACAAAGTTCCCTACCTCATACAGTCACAGGACACATTTTAAACAAAGAACTAATTTAACGTGAATTAATCGCATATGGATCACTGATATGTATAATCGGGGAGACCATAAATCTAACGGGGATCGACAATATTATTATATCTTCCTTAAGCCTATTTCAAAAAGACTTGCTATTGCAATCATCAGAGTTCACAATATGGTCAAAATAAGCATTCTTCTCAGAGCTTACCTCCATTAATTCCTTTAAACACTCAGGTTATTTTATCCTCCTCCGATCTGGTAATACGATACTTTTGTACAGCATTATTAGTTACAAATTCATCATACTTAATTAATTTTCCATTCGTTTCAAAACCATCAAAAACTATATTTTTTAATTCATCTAAGATAAATATATCGGTAGCTCTACAGGTTAGTGTTGGGAAAGATCATTTCTTATTATTCCATTCCTTTCCTTTTGAGCCAATTGAATAAATCAGAAAGCCACAGAAGGCCACTGTCTTTGCTAGCTTTTTTTTTTGAATGTTAAGTACTGCGTAATAATTAATTTATTGTATTTAAATGAGACTGGTAAATGTCGACGCTGCTGTAAAACAAGCAATGCGATTATACAAGGGAAGATACAATCGGAAACCTTTATACTAATATTCCGCTGTCCCTCCGTCACTCTATTAGAACTTAGGAGTACTATTTACAGACAGTTGAAATTTTCACAGATGATGTATTTCTGTTGCCGCTATAACAACAAATACTAATTAGAAAACATATAAGGGTATAAGGGGCTTTTATAACATAAATGTAGACTTTGAGTAAGCTTTTTTACCCGACTGCAAAGGGATGGTTATGTTTTTCACGCGTATCTTGTAGGTATGTAATATTTCTTTATTACCTCATCTTCAAAACCGCTGATTTTATTTAATAGATTTACATAATTGAGGTATCGTTAGAGTTGTTTTAATAGCCCAGTATTCTTAGATATGGTAACGTTAAAAAATCAAATATAGTGGCGTTATTATATTTAATGATAAAAAAATTGTTGCAAATACTACAATATGGGTATCAAAGTAAAGGGTTTAATACAAAGATTCCAAAGGTATGTCGTGATTATTATTACTGGAATACTAATAAAAATAATACAATTATAAAGTAAAAAATATGGCCTTTTTTAACCGCTCTAATTTATTAGCCTGACGTTTCTAAAGCACATGCATAATATGTGCTATAGTATTATTACGAAGCCTTCAATGCAATGTAGAGCGGTCCCTCTAATGCGACAACATTTTTTTTTTATGGGATAGGGGGCAGACGAACAGACGGATCACGTGATGGTAAGTGATTACCGTCGCCCATGGACACCTGCAACACCAGAGGGGCTACCAGCGCGCTGCCGGCCTTTGAGGGACGAATATGCTCTAAGCTTGAAAGTTGGAAGGTCGTATCGGTCCGGAAATACCGCTGGCGACAAACTGTTCCAGAGTTTGACTGTGCGAGGCAGGAAACTTTTAGAAAAACGCACAGATGAGGACTTCCAACCATCCAAATGATGGGCGTGGATTTCCTGTCGCGTGGAACGAAATAAAAAAAAAAATCATATGTACGGTTATATAATTTCGCACTTTTATGATGGCGACCATCTTGGATTTCAAATTTGCCATAGTGTATAGTATTCTACTACTCAAGCCCTTTTATTTAATACCCATATTGAGGGATTCGTGACAAAACATGTAATTCAACATTTTGTGGCGGCGGTCATTTTGGATTTCAAATTTTGTCATAGTGTATAGTATTTTACTACTCAAGCCCTTTTATTTGATATCCGTATTGAGGGAGACGTGATGAAATATGTTACGCAATCCAAGATTTTTGGTGGCGGCCATCTTGGATTTGAAATTTGTCATAGTACTTACTACTCAAGCCCTTTTATTTGATACCCTTATTGAGGGATTCGTGACAAAACATGTAATCCACCATTTAGTGGCGGCGGCCATCTTGGATTTAAAATTTGTCATAGTCTACAGTATTCTACTACTCAAGATCTCTTATTTGATACCCATATTGACGTAATCGTGACAAAATATGTAATCAAGACATTTTGTGGCAGCGGCCATCTTGGATTGATTTCCATCAAACATAGACTAGACTAATACATCTTTCAAACAAAAAAAAACAAAATCAAAATCGGTTCATCTGTTCGGGAGCTATGATGCCACAGTCAGACACAGACACGTCAAACTTATAATACGCCGTCGTTTTTTGCGTCGGGGGTTAATTACAAAATAACGTATTGCTGATTAAAAGATCAATTCTTTAATAAAGAAATCTAAAAAATATATCACATAAAATCTGCACTTGCTACTATATATGGGGTGAGAACGACAACCCAATTAACTCCACGTTTGCTTAATAACATACAACAACCTCTATTACAAAGCATTACCAAAACAAATCTAAATGTAAACTCAAATCATATGTATTTAGAACAACCTGTAAGTGGATAATTTGTTAAAAACCAGTCTTGGGGGTATGCGATGAATTCACACTAATGTCATTTCACTTCGATTTAAAAAGACAAAACACAAAATGCTTTATATTATTGATGTTTAAATTTTCTAAGTATTTGTAAGGTTATTATAAGGTTAAAATTATATTACTTAAAGTGGATTTTTGTTTAAAGCGATTGTACACAGGAAGTGCATTCCGGACAAACCTTCGTGGTTTTTGGTTTGTACTAATATAAATTGTAATGTTAAATTGTATTTGTAATAAATTAAAAAATATTTCCATTGTTGCTGTCGAAGCTGTTATAACCTCAAAACATTATTTATAAATTATGGATCTCCTTGGCCTCCAAGTGAAAAGAATGCCAAGATATTATTCTAATATAAGCATAAACTAATTAAGATAGATGCAACCTTTAAAAAGTCATGGGACAGGTCAATCATTGTATGGAAAGTGGACATAATTCTTTAGCCGGAGACATGAAATTGAATAATAAGTGACATCTCTCTCTCTTTGTGCACGCCTCCGATTGCACGTTATGTATGATCGATGTTGGATAATTTCTTTATCTCGTTCCAGCTTTTTCATTTAGTCAATTTTCACACAGGGGAGTTTGTCGTTTTGCTACTTTTAATTCGAGTCAATATCGTTTCTTCGGCTCGCCGACGTCTTCGCCCGGGGACGGAATCGAACAATTTCGGGTGTAACAAATGAAAGGCAGATATTATTTCGATCCTAAGTTTAATATATACAAAAGGTGTGGTGGTAGTGGTGGCGGCGCGAGTGGCGCGAGTGGCGGCGGCTAGTGGCGGCGGTCGGCGAGCGCGGAGTGCTGCGACAGGTGCGACAGGTGCGACAGCGCCGAGTGCGCCGACGAGCAGATGTCCTGCAATAGGGTTGTCCGTCACTCAGGTAGATTGTTCAACAATATTAAACATGCATTTTTTGGGTAATCTATAAATTACGGCAACACACTGAGTTAAAATGTCGCGTGACGTTATCTAAGTGATTTCTTGTTCTGAATCTGACTGAAGGACTAAATAGTATTATTTATTTTTTAAGCCATTAATCATCCTTACACTTATGGGACGAATGTTCCTCAGCAAAACTTGCATTCTCTAAATACATTTAGAACAGTGGAAACCTGAACCCGTGGTGAGCTTAAATTGCATGTTCTGTGTAGTTTACGCCTCCCCGTCGAACGTGAAGTGAATTGGACTAAATAAGCTAGATTTTAACATCTAAAAATGGCGGCGGGGTGGCGGGGCTGTCCTGTAATGTGATGGGTGACCTGGTAGGAGAAGCGCGGGAAGTGCTCCTCCTGTATCCGCTGCAGCTGATGGTCGTGGTCGGGCGGCGTGAGCTCCACGGACTCGCCGGTGAACTCCGAGTCGAAGTAGCGCGTGTCCGTGTCCGACTCCACCTGCGGCTTGAACGGCGGCGGGATCTGCAACTCGCGACCGTCTCCTCGTAAATCTAACGCAATCCGCGGGATCGCGACGTACTTCAACGATATCGTTGACTTGACGTTAATCGGAATTATCCAAACGAAAGCGCAAGAGTCGAACGCTCCGGACTCCGGTTTTTGTTGTTTCCTGATCGTTTAAAACACCGTTCGTTCCGATGGCGATTACGACTTTAAAGGTTCCGTGATTTGATAAATCGCTCCGCCTTTAAGAGGAATCGCGACCGATTTCATAATTAGATACTGGCCGAGCGGACAGAAGGAAGTCTCGATCGGTCCACTGCCATGAAAACGATCCTTCAAAACTTTCCAAAATATTTTAAACGACCGATTGCATTCAGATTTTTGAAATAGAAACAATAATAATAAAGAAATACGCCTGGCGCGGGGGAAGTTAAAAGATTCAATCGAATCGCTTAGGATTCGCATCTCAGAAATTGTTTAAAACTTTTTTATGGGGTTCCCCAAGGGATTATTATAGGGCCGATACTATTTTTGATAAACGTAAATGACCTTTGTAATATTAAGTTAAATAAGGGTTATATTTTAACATACACCGATGACACTGGCCTTTTTTTCTTGGCTTAAACAGAGGTCGACGCAATGTGAGTTCAACTTAGTAGATGGCTTCAGAATCATTTACTAAAAATAAAAGTAAGAAAAACGTACCATATAAAGATTTTCTAAGAATGCCGCTACCAATACTAATTCATCATCATTTGCTCATTACTGCAGCATGCCATTTGTTAACCAATGTGCATATGCCCAATATTACATTAAAGATCTTCGTATTATATTAGATGAAAATCTTTCATTCAAGAAACACATTGAGCCAGTAAATAACAGAATTCATAAAACGATATGTTTTTATCAAAGTTACGCCATATTGCAGACGTTGCAATAATTACACAAGTTTACACGGCACAGTGCCAATCAATGTTATCCTACTGTTTCACTAGATGGGGCGGAGCGTGCAAAACTTTACTATTATCTACCGAGAGAGCACAGAGAGGTATTCTTAACTTTTCTACTTTCCGTTCTTTTCTTTACTTTACTAATCGGCTCTATAAAAATTGTAAGGTTTTAACAGTTCGGCAATTATTCACTACGAGTATTGTACTAAAAACAACACGATGACGAAATGTAAAAGGATAAAGTATGCACTGAAAAAACTAAAGAGAAATGCATTTTACAACAAAATTCTATACGTTCCTGGGCCCGTGACTGTACAATAGATCGAACGCTACAGCGCACATTCACTTACAAAATTGTGTGTAATAATCCTGTTATTATTAATTTGTTCGTTTTGTTTCTAATATTTAAGATATAATGTTTGCTGATTAAGTAGTAATTATATAATTAAACTATGTCAGCTCTACTCGTCTGATGCACAGGTCGACCTAGTTCAGACATAAAAGTTTACACACAGACCACGTAACTAATGTTGATGTATGCAATAATAACAGAAACTAAAAAATGTAATATAAGCTATATTATACGCTAACGTTAACTTTAAATATAATATAACTAAATGTACTTCGTCGTCTAATGATTATATTTTTTTCGACGATCACCGTCAGGTACGTCGTATTAAAAACTTCGAAATCGTAATAAACACACTAAAGTAAACGCAGTCGGCCGATTATACCAATCGTCTGCGACGTAGATATGCAATATATCCGGAGATTCGCCCGAACGGAGTCGGAGGTGTTATTTTAAATAAAGCAATGGAGCATACCCGTTTGGCGACCAGGTCGGTCCAGTTGATGGCGGCGAAGAACGGGTGGTGCATGATCTCGGCCGCGTCGTCGGGCCCGGCTCCGAGTCGCCCCGCCGGCTCCTGCGCACGTAGAGTGTACGTATAGTGGGTGTAGTGGGGAGGGGAGGGCGGTGGGGAGGGAGGGCAGTATACCTTGGTGAGCAGCCCCTGCAGCAGCGCGCGGCAGGCGGCGGAGAGCGCGCGCGGGAAGCGCACCTCCTCGCCCACGATGAGCGCGAACAGCACCTCGTGGTCGCGGTTGTAGAAGGGCAGGCGGCCGCAGGCCATCTCGTACGAGACCACGCCCAGCCCCCACCAGTCCACGGCGGGCCCGTAGTCCGTGTCCTCGATCACCTCGGGCGCCAGGTACTCGGGCGTGCCGCAGAACGTCTTGGTGGTGCGCCCGTACGGGACGTTCACCTTGCACAGGCCGAAGTCGGAGATCTTGATGTGGCCGTCCTTGTCGAGCAGCAGGTTCTCGAGCTTGAGGTCGCGGTAGATGATGCCCTCCGCGTGCAGGTAGCCCAGCGCGGACACGATCTCGGCCGCGTAGAAGCGCGTGCGCTCCTCGCTGAAGGAGCGCTCCCGCGACAGGTGGAAGAACAGCTCGCCGCCGTTGGCGTACTCCATCACGAAGCACACGCGGTCCACCGTCTCGAACGAGTAGCGCAGCGCCTGAGGGCCCCCGTCAGTTAGCTATACTCTCTCGTTTATTGTGTTCATTGTTAAAGTCTCTCCTCGAGCTGGGAGGAGATTAACACTATATGTCGCGTCGCCCGAATGTGAAACGACGGCGAATAGTTATCTTGTCAAAGTTTATATAGACTTTAAAAAAGTTTAATCGATAGGGAAGAACCCGTCCAAACGGCGCCGCCGGAGCTCTATTCCGAAGGACCCGAAAACACGAAAAAGCACAAAATTACGGTAACGACTTAAAAAAAAGCTTCTCCGAATTAAAAAGCATTTATTGTTACAAAAATCTGATGAGAAACACGTTGACGGTCTCCGTCGCGACGCTCGTTTAGAACCCCTATACATGTAGACTAACATCATATTAATCTTAATAGTGTGTAAGGTACGTAAAGTATGTAAAGTACTCATGTGGTAGTAGGTGTATATGTCCGTACCGTAAGGAATGGATGCTTGGTGTTCTTGAGGACTCTGTTCTCGGTGATGGTGTGGGCGACCTCGTCCTTCTGTATGATGTGGTGTTTCTTCAGTATCTTCATGGCGTACAGTTTGCCGGTGCCCTTCTCCCTGCTCAACACCACTTTACCGAACGTGCCCTTCCCTAGCACCTTTACGAACTCGAACTTCTCCAAAGTCTTCATAAAAACAAAACACAATTAAAATTATATTTTTGATAAACAATTTAATTATTGTTAAGAATCTTAAACGACTGTCTAAACTCTAGCATCCGCCATTTTGTTGCGGGCATTAAAAAATGTAATCTGCCATTTTGTGACGGCAGCCATCTTCCATTTATAATAAGTAATACTGAATCAAATACTTATATTGCATGGGAACTAAAGATGTCTACTTATTTATAACTAAATAAAACCATTATATCCAATTTGCATCCACAATGCTATACTGGAAAATATTTTTAATGAAAAATACTTAAAACGTCCCATTTCAGAGTAACAGGAAGAAAGTTATTTTCTTGAATAAGTCGCTTTTGACATGAGTATTATTTTTCCCTTGTCAACCGACTTCAAAAAAAAGGAGGAGGTTCTTAGTTTGAATGTATTTTTTAATTTTTTTTTTATTTGAAAGCTAATGCTTGCCGTGTGGTCCCATTTGGTCCAGATCTGACAATGGCATGTATGAGAAAACCATTAAGTAGAAGGGTGGTTTGAAAAGTTCTCGGCCTGACCGAGTTTTTAGGGTAGTCTGTAAACTAATAAACCACCCTCATATGCGTGATGTTTGTTACCTCAAAACTTTTTACAGGGTGAACCGATTCTATTGAGTTTTTTTTTTATTTTATTTTAAGCTGGTGTTTCCGGTGAAGTCTCATTTCAATTCTCAGCATAGTATTTATCAGACTTAGGAAAAAATTTTAGGTAATTTTAGGTTCGCACTTTAACACAGGTTTGACGCAGTTTTCAAAAAAAGTATTTTTTAGTGTTACCTATTATATAAAAATATCAATATCACTAAAAACCATGAAATAAAAAACTTAAAAAGAAAACGGAACCGGCTTCAAACTTAAATAAAGTGACAAATAATACTTATCTCAAAAGCGACTTATTCAAGAAAATGCTATTGAAGTCGGGCGGAGGTTATTAATTAAATGATAGCTGCCCGATTTCAATAGCATATTCTTGAATAAATCTTAAGTAATTCTATTTTAAAAAGGTTTATATATCATGCTTTTAGTGATGTGTGATATGTTATAAAACATATCAATAATAGGTAACATTAATAATATTTTTCTGAAAACCGTGTAAAAGTGCGAACCTCCATTGTTTTAATTAGTTAGTATACATAAAACCTTCTCCTAAGTCTGACAAATACTATGCTCAAAACCGTATCAAAATCGGTTCAGAAAAACGCGAGATAATCGCGCACAAATAAACATACATACAGGTCACACTGAAAACCTCCTTTTTAAAGTCGGTTAAAAATATTTAACATAGTGAAAATTTTAGAATAGATTTTGTTTATTTAATCGACATCATTTTTTCCAATAATCTATATTCATATTTGAAAGGAGAGAAATCTATGACTTTCTAAATAATATACATCGAAGAGTAAAGTATACATACACGTTGAACATAGAAAATCTACCCTCAGATTTTGAATGAATTCTTAACACGTAATCATTTATTTGGCCATGAAATGGGCCATGTGATAACATATCATCTTAATATTTAGGTGATATCTATTGGAAAGCGTATTTTGTTTTGTTATAATATGAAAACTATTTATTCGATTTCGATAAAATTGAAACGGAAGCTGCTGTCAGAATAAAAAATAGAATTTTAAAAATCGGTCAACAATTGACGAACGTTCATAAAAAAACATACATATCTGTGGAACATATAAGCTCCTCCTTTTAGATTTGATAAATAAACCACTCCACTATGGACCACCACATACACGCTGATTAGAAAAAATATAACGATATTAGTTGCAATTTTGTTGGCACAAACTTTACTTTTAATGTCAAACTGCACTTTTATTTATGTAAACAACTAAGATAACAGAAGTTAACTTATTACATAACTAGATATCTATGTATTATAGTAAACCGGAGTACTTATGCTTATATTTCTTAGATCACATATGGAAACAGAATACTGTTAAACTTAACTTATTTTTTACAGATTGACTTAATAACATCGGCACATTTATAAATAATATATTAGCTAAAATATTTAATAAGTTATAAAAATAACACTTCAACATTATTCATTTAATTCAAAATTATAATCTAAGAGGTCGTGACAAAAAGGTACATGTTTTCTTAATCTTGATAATACAGTATGTTGAAGTACTAGGGTCAGGTGCTGGAACACCTGGTGGCGGCGGAACGAATCAATAAGTAAGCGGTTACAGAATATGTCTGTGGCATTAAACAAAAGTCTGAACATTTTTATATAACTCCTTTTTAATTAATAATGGGTTACTTTAAATTTAAGACATATGAGACTGAGAGTCACCTCGTTCTTCAATTGTGCGGTTAAGCAGTTTATTTAACTTTTTATATTAAAATCCAGTCTCTCGCTCATTTTTAACCATAGCAAAGCATCTTTAAGACATGTTATTATTTAACATATTGAGGTGTATGCAAGCGCGCCGCCAGCACCAGGTGTTCCAGCACTCACTGGGTACTGAGTGACGCATCACCTTAGTACTTTGATATACTGAAGTATCAACCGTTACAAAACTCTTGCACTTTTTGTCACGAGCTCTTGTACTGTATTTAAATAACATTTTTATTGCTGGAAGTGTCAGTGCCTTATATATAGGCAAAGTCAAGAAGCGAAATAGGTTTATGAAAATAAACGAATTCGCCAATTCGTTTTCGTATGAAATACATAATAATGAATCTAAAGTGCAAACGACATGTCGCGTGCAGTAATGTGCTGTGTGATGTGTTGTGTGATGTACACAGTGGCGCGGAATCTCTGATGTCGTAACGGTGACCGCGAACGACCAAAACAACCTGACTCACGCACAAGCACACACGCATACTGCGCATTTAACATTATTTTTTCACTTGTCTAAGCACGCAGCTCGTAAATTACTCATCTCCTAACTGTATAAGTACTGACTTGGAGTCCAAAGGCGGTCTAATAATAATACATCTTTCCGTTGGTTTTATGAATAGAAGACTGCGTAATTTTTCTAAGGTTTAGTTACAGTCTAAACGTGATTTAAAAATATATTCTCGCAAAATCATACTTTCTCGATTCCTTCTCGTAATTATACTTTGTAATACGGAAAATTTATAAATATGTGCCGTCACTTTGTACCGGAGGGCTGTGTGCAACACATTTACAATAATCTAATATGGTAATAGTTTGCATATAATTATTATTTAAAATTGATTTCCATCGTCTTTTCTTATCTATCTCATTGCCAGGATAGATAAGGACAGACGATGGCTGTGAGATCGGTAGGAACAGACTTTTGTGTTTATGTTCAGCCTTAATGAAATTATAAATTAGGTTTCTTTCACATAGTTCTATCTGTTCTATATGTATTCAGAAAACTTTAAATTATTTAATACATAATACTGACGAGCGTTGAAATGATATCTTTTCCTCACAGCAGCAGCAGACAATTATTTTCGACAACATTAAAAGCATAGTATAAACAAAGTACATGTTTTTTTCTATAATGTGTTATCATGTGTAGATAGATAGAGTTATTAGTAAAAGTTGCATATCAGTGCGTCGGTTGGTGCGGCGTGCACCGTTTGTGGTCTCACTTCCCAGAACGTTACTGACTCACGCACGACTTGCGTAGTTTTCCTGTTTACCGAATTTTATATGCTCCTCTATAGGTAGGTAGGTAGGTAGGTGAGTAGGTACACACGGATACAGGACAACCCATTGTGATAACTCTCTTGTTGTTCATATTGAGCCCTCCACTTGCAGTTAATTGAATCCGCCTTAAATAATGAATATCTAAATATTTATAGATCATATCAGAACACGCGACACAATAGAGATAAACTATCAAGAAGTATTCCCTAACGGTTTAAAACTCACAACCAGTAAAACAAGGGCAAATATTGATTGTTCCTATGCAAAGTTTTGGACTTCACTAAATTGCATGTTTTCTATTGGATTCTCCAAAGTTTATTGTATTTGATTTCTCTACGAAAGGAATTCTGTTCTCTAAATGTAAATTTGGAAAACTCTAATATATTAAAACAATAGGTATATTAGAATTTTACAAGATATTAAAACCAACCTTATGGTTTCTTTTAATATCATTCCTTAGTCAAACAGATATAATTGTATTTCTGTATACCTACTACAGTAAAATAAGTTTACTTCTGTTCTCTTTACTTGTTTACAGATTTTATTTTAGTTATGATGAATATTAAAGTATATGAATTATACTCGACAGTTACATTTCTCAAAGTAAGCTTTGCTCCATGTAGAACATGGTAAAGCATATTTCGAGAGTCAACAACAATACTGATCATATTTTGGCAAAAGATCATATTTAAGCAAACTCGTTGTAACCAGCGAAACCAAAATTGATCTTCAGATCAGAATAAGTTTTTGTAAAAAAATCTTATGAACATCCATGGTTAAAAATATGGTAACTCTTATTCAATTAATATGGAAATAAGATTTTTTTATTGACCAAATTAAGTGTTTACTGCCTATTTTTGCTTTCTAGCATCAAATTATTTGGTTTCCATAAAGGTCCCACCAACAAAAAAGCTTGGAAACTGCTGCTCTATGGCATGTCTTTCATTCAAAATACTAGCTGTGATACTAGATAGATGAATCATATGACCTCCTTTTTTGGTGAACAACAAACACACATGCACTTATTTTGACAAATAACATGACACGGCAGTAATTCCTGTGATCAGTGTGTGGTGTTGCATTATGTAATCTTTTTTTATTTATTTTATTAATAGATACAATCTGCCTACACATTTTTATAATATAAAAAATATAGCACAACTCATACCATATAGGAAATAGTTTAAGATGTGCGCTGCTTTATATATTAATTGTAGGTACTAGGTATATGATAATGAACTGATAATTAGGTCATTATAAAAATTTACTATTTTCAACTAATTAGTTGAAGTTAGTTAATAACTGATAAATGACATGCATTGCTCACTTCTAAAGTTAAATAAGCAGCTAAACTTCTAGTGTTACAGGAATCTGATAAAGAATACTTTTTGTAATGACCTATTGAGAATCAAATCCAGCATATCAAAGATAATGATGTTTTCATAATTGTGATCAGCGTGTAATGGTGGTCTATAAACGAGGATAATTTAGCTAATTAACAAAATGCATTACAATGGACACTTACAATTCGTCTTGGGTCTCTGAAACTGGTGCCCAGCTGTGCGATATCGTGGTCGTCACCATCGGCGCCCGCCGCAGCCGTCGCGCCCGCCGCCGCGCCCGCTGCCGCTACGGCACTGCTGCCCGAGCTCAGCTGTCCCGACACAAAACGGATGGCAGCCACCCATTCCTCACTGCAATTACAGCCAACCACTTATGAATTGAAACATTGTACTTAGTAAAGTCAAGATTGTCATTCTGTACAAACAGAAGTTTCCTGTCTGGGTAGTTCATTATATAAGACTTGTGTTCATTTTTTGTGCAGTCATTCAACATTATTAAATTTATGGTAATGCCATCATAATTGCAACTGTAATGATGACTCTATCAAAAATTTATAAAATTTAAATAGCTAACAAGTAACTTTAAGAATATGTAGGTACACTTGGTGTATGTAATTTAGTAAACTTCTATTTTAATATCACATCAGGGTCAACACTGGTTTGTATATCTAAATACTCCATTACTTTTATAATCTGTAATAGAACTACAGACTCACAATCTACATAGAAATATGATATAAAAGTGACAATCAACACACAAATGTTTATACCCTCCAGATGAAAAATACAATATTGTCAAACTACCAAGTTCACAATATTTTATTAGTGAATAACTAAGTCATTTCAAAAAGATAGGTAAGCAAATAGCAAGCTGATGCTGCAGGATGGATGCACATGTGGTAAATAAGGCTACTTACCGTTCCTTTTCAGTGTCGACACTGAAGTTGCGTTCGATGACAGTGGTCCACTGTAGACCGCGTATGGTGAATGTGTAGGGCCGTGGCTTGTCCACAGCCATGATCTGACAGTCCCGTACCGTGAACTTGTTGAGTGGGTCGCGGTAGTTGTTCCGCTCGGGCTGCGTCTTGAACCCGACCAAGTCTCCATTATCAAACAGTATAAAGTAGCGGTCGCGCCAGTTACGAATATGCTCGCCGCGCTTCTGAAGCCATCCTTCCTTGACGATGTTCCCGGGCGGCGCCTCCGCCATCGCCCTCGCTGTTTGATAACAAACGACGGGCTAGTGGTGCCAGCCACACCACGTTGTGCACTCTGATACCCAGGTGGCTGTTTCACCTTGATTTTGTAATGACGAGCACTATAGTATCGAACATTTTCCCGTTGTATAAAGACTGATGCACTATTTCAACGTATTTTTGTTTTCAGCAATAACATGAACCAGTGCGACGTATACTCGACGTAGCCTCGCGGTAGTGACACGGTACAATAAAAATGTATTGTCTAATGAACAGTCAGAAAGAGATCGACGTACGTGTTAGCTTATCGCTAGAAAGAGAAAGTAACATTATTGCAGGAGTACAAATATTACTACTTAATTTAGACGTATAATAACCTATTTTGACAAATTAGTACCATATGTCTGCCACTAGAGGCATGAATGGCGCTGTATATTTTTTTTAATGACGTTCCATTTTACACAAAATCACGACGCATAGATTAAAAATTATGATTAAAATCATGACTCGCACCGCACGTTATGTGTATTATTTTGTTGTAGCGACAGCAGACTGGTGAATATTGTGAGTGTGATGGATATCGGTAATTGGCAATGTGATCCACAGCTGGATACTAATTAATACTAATTGAAATGACAATCTATAAATATAACTTTATTAATAATCAAAGATTGCTATATTGGCTGATAAATAATAACTACACTGGGACTACTAGGTAACGAATAATAACATAAATAAGTATAGGTACTTAAAGTACTTTTTTATTTTACCAATTTCTCGGCATGATTAACGCGTATACTAGACTACTACTAGTTAATGAGCTAAGCTGCGGACGGACAGACGGACTGACAAGCAGACGGATATAACGAAACTACCTATTCTAAAAGTTCCTTATTGACTACGGAACTCTAAAAAATATTTTATTTAGTTATCAATATTTTCCTAACCGTTCGGTCTATGTTCTTGAAATTCGATGTAGACCTGTCCATCTCGTCTGCGATTGCTTCACTCTCTAGCCATTAAACAACATTTTAGCGAATATTATAACGATATTTCGTTTTATTTTACTTTCTTTCTTTTGGTGTATAATTTGGGATAAATTATTAAGTACGGAACACTAATTAAATCCATAACCATCATTCTTTATTGTTCGTTCTTCGTTACTAAAGTACATGTCAAAGTAATAAAAAGAAACGAAATATAGCCATAACATCGATAATCGACATGGCTACAATCATGACTAGTGAGTTAGACGGTCGCTCCATAGATAGTCCTCTCGACCCCTGGCGACTCTCCTACAAAACCCACATGTTGAAAAACACTGGTTTAGTGGGTAGCGTTCTGTTTTAAATTTTCATTACAGTAAAACATGTTTAGTCGTCATGGATACGATGAAAAATTGAGTAATTATAAAGTAATACTTTGGCGAAAAAGCTTCTTCGCATTTTATATGAAAATTTAAAACATTTTTTAATAAAGTTTGTTTACATTTAACTAAAGTATGTAGGTACCATTTTGTTCGATAACTTTTTGCCATCTTGTAGGTAGAGACATGATCCCATTGTTATAGAAATTTTGGGGCTTCTTAAAACAAGTGGTTTTGGCAATCTTCGCGTGATTTTAACCTGACACTGCCTAAAAAATTCTGAAGAGACCGCAACAGGTGGAAACCTGAAGTTGCAATGTCAGGTCTATACCTACGGAGGATACATAAACTCCACCCAGCCAAACTGTCTTAATTTTTACTGAATGGCAAAAGACGTGTGAGATCTAGCGTTATCATGATGAAAAACCACACCCCTTCTATTGATTACTTCGAGCCGTATCTCACAACTTCTTGCTTTAATCTCATCAGTTGTTTGCAATAGAGTTCAGAATCGATGGTTCTGCCTGATGGTAACAGCTCCCACCATACACACAGCATCAACTTGTTGCGAGTTAACCTGGGTTTCGCCATAGTCTGTGAAGCCTGACCGACTGGTGACCACGACCTTTTTTCACGTTCTTCTCGTACGTGATCCATATTACATCACAGTTATCAGGTTCTTCAAAAATGGTTCGGTTTCATAAGGCCGAAAAAAGAATCACTAATGAATACATTAGGTTTCTTTTAGTGAGCTCGTGAGGTACCCGAATATCCAATTATTTTGTGTACCCAGCTTTTTTAAAATGCGCCAAAACTGTTTTATATTCAATCCCCAGTTCTTCACCTACATTGTAACTACTGATATGCCAATGACGTTCTACTTTTTCAAAAATGGCATCTATTTTATTCGTAACAGTACAGCGTGCATCTTTGACATCAAAATTTCCGGACTGAAAACGCTTAAACCAAATTTGTGCTACTCTCACAGGTCTGCACTAGGCCCATAAACGTAGCAAATTTTTTTCGCGGCTTGCATTGCATTTTTACCTGTTTCGTTATAAAAATTTAAAATGTATCGAATTCTTCATTAGATTCATTCGTTTTGACAGTAAGAAAAACAAATGAAAATAACCCATTTTCCTAATTTGAATTCGGAGTTATCTTCTTTAAAGTTATTGGTTCTTACGTTTCCATTATGAAAATATCGACCATTATAGGAGATGTAGATACCTATAATACTGTGAAGTACCGAAAACAGTAGTATAGAATCTCGCACGTCTTCAACCAGCTTCGGTTAATCGTTCGGTTCTGTTGCTCATACATAATAACGCGTGATCCCATACTGCACAGGAGAGAGTTTCGTAGTGACAAGACCTTTCTAAAACTATAGTCATCAGACTATCCGCTTCTATTTTTTCCCAAATATGAATATCTACTTTTCGGAACATAAATTTAATACCCAAGAGGCGTATAAAATACCTTCGAAGAATTTGTTCCTACCCGACCAGCTCATTTCTTCAAGATGTGCACCAATAAGCTGCCACTGCGCTGACATAGATGCATCGCTGATTACTTTTAAAATTTTTAAATTGATTTATTTCATTAACACTAAATATGTTAATTCCAATGGTAAATATAAAACCTTATATAGTGCATCAATTGATAATTTACAAACCCATCGGAATCAGTTATAGAATTCCTTCTTTATTTCGAATTATTAACAACACTGCTTGTTTTTATTTATTAAAATTGGGTACCATATTCTATAATTATGCTTTCAATGTTTTATTTGTACCCACTAGTCAATGAACAAACGTTGTGTTATTAAAGTAGCTAGCTATCTGTCGGTATTTGCTTACTCAATCAATTGACAAAGTCCTCGTGTGGCGTCTGTCTAAAAGCGACAGCTCAAAATCGAATTGGAGCTTATATATAGACCAGATGAATGGTATTAAATCCTGGTGATTCGGCTTACTGCATTACTTCTCTAAAAATTGATCATATTATACTGGGGTATGCACAGTAAGTAGCATCCAACATCTTCGTTTATGTAACGGAGCTGCGACTTGGTGTTTAAAATATGTTGGTGAGGTAAGGACTTGAATGTTAGTCGGTACGTCGGTCTGAGCGGCGCGCGGCGGTGGCGTGGGCGAGGGCGCACGCCCCTTGCGCAGATCGATAGTAGGGGCGCGGGAAGGCGCGGGGGCGGGGTCGGCGCGCGGCAGTGACTGGCAGCAGGCCTCACCGCGCGGCCCTTGCGATCCGACCGCTCCTCGCCGCGACCGCCCGTGTGTTGCGATGAAGGTATAGATTCCCCCTGGCCTGTAGCGCGGTAGTGGTATGACTTAGCTGTAAGTAGCGGCAGCAGCCGGCCCGGTACGTGTCGTAGCTAGCCGCCGTGTTGTCTCTGTGCGCCGCCTGTCCCTCGACGCCGCGGCCTCGCCCGTCCATCGCCATTCACTCTTCACGCACGGAGCCATTTTCCTCGATATCAGAATTCTCCGCTCATTAGTTCACTGTGACCCTCACAAAATCGAGATAATGCGATACGATTTTTTGATGTTGTCTTTTCATCCTCCCCCGTTCACATATTGAAATGTTTCTTGGCTTAAATGCACGCATCATCACATTTCATATTCTTACATGCATAATAATTGTGGTCATTTCTCTTCGACCGTTTTTGATTAATAATGACATTATGGATTGTGACTTGCTGTATCCAGGTATACATACATTAAGAATAACAGTTTTTTAAACGCGATCGATATTAATATAAGCCCATAAACTTACATTGATGCTAAATATTATAAAAGTTACAAGTCTTAAGGATGATAAAAAACATTTAAGCTATGTAAAATTATAAACAATAATGACGTAAAGGTCTGCAACAAGCTTCAGTATATGACCGATCAGTTCCTTAAAACTCTACATTACTTAAAAAATTTCCGTTACTTGTTAAGGAAAAGAGTTATGTAACTTCTAAGATTCATCATTCCCATAATACTCTTTTCCTGGATTATATTTTTTACCATCAACCTTTTATTTTGTTTCAGCAACACGGCGAATATATTGTAAGCTCATATAATGCTAAAACTACCAAAAGGCCTTAAAAAGAAGAAAAAAGGGAAAAAGTCAAAACGTAAAGGTGAAGAAGAGCTTTTTACAGAGGAAGAACTAGAAAAATATAGAAGAGAACATCAACAAGCACAGTCTGAAGACGGATCGTCTAAAGAGAATGAAGAATGGTCAAAGTTTAAAGATTTGACAACTGGGGTTGACTCTGTTTTAAAGAAAACTCAAGGTGATTTAGACCGCATAAAGTCGACGTCATTTTTTCAACGAATACCAGCAGGTCCTAAAGAAGTCAAACCTGTAGAGAAAAAAAACACACAAAGACCAGTAGTCGAAGTCACTGAAGCAGACTTCCCTCAATTCAAGCAAGCTGCAGCTGCCGCTGACGACGAAGGAGATAAAAGTGACTACGGAGTTACTGACGATGAATCTGAGGAGGATGATCAAGACGACATCTTCGACACTTCGTATGTAGACGCAGTTGAAAGAGGAGAAGTCAAATTAGCTTACGTGCCTGACTCACCTGAAGATTTCCAAGACGATGATATATTTGACACATCACATGTTGATGCTTTAATTAAAGGACAAGAAACAAAAAGTGTCAAAGGCAAGAAGGTATTAGATATCGGTGTTGCAGTTGAAGTTTTAACTGGTAGGATCGATAATGTAACAGTCACTACTAAAAGGCCGAAGAGAATAATACCAGGTGATTTGCTATTCGAAGATAAAGAACAAGCAGCTGTTGCCCAAGTCATAGTAAGTGAACAAGTGGAAAAAAGTATCTTAGATACTGAAGCGGATATACCAATAACTACACCTATAGATTTGAGCGTCTCTCTTCATACTTCATTAATACAGCAAAATAAAGCTAATCTTCTAGATGAGAAAAATGCAGAAGCTGATTTAACAATAACTGATGTAAACGTTGAAGAAGATGAATTCGATGAATTCACACAATTAGCTACAGAATCATTAGAAAGTGGCCAAGAGGTACTTAAGCTGCAAGAAAACGAATTCAAAGTTGAGCCAGTTCTACAAGAGTCTTGGTCTGCCTTCGAAGCAGATAAAAATCAATCTGTATTTGCGGAATGTATCGTAGAAGATCAAATTGATGTTGTTGATCCATATTTAGATCAAGACGATCCATTTGATACCAGTTTTGCAGATGCTGTAATTCCTACACATCAGGCGGTACCTACAAAAGAAGCAATTATTCTTGAAGAAGACGACGACGACTTTGATCCAAGGGCAGAAGAAGTTAGAGTGAAATTAAATAATAGAAGAAAATCTTCTGTACGTATTCATCTAACTGACCCTTCTGGTTTAAGAGAATCTATTACATCGGATGATCTAGTAGAAAACAATAAAGAAGAAACTCAAAAATCTCGCGATTTACTAGGAGGTAGTACCACTGATTTAACACAACTAGGAGACTCACCATTAAACCCAGTAGATATAAACACTATCGGTGAGGTTGATCCATTTGATACAACTATTGTTGATAAAATTGTAGCACCAGGTAAAATTGAATTGAAACTTTTGGAGCAGGAGTTAATCGGAAATCAAACACCAGTTTATCGTGTGCCAAGTGATCCTGATTTCGACCCACGCTCTGACGAAACACAAAAGGTTGAAAGACGTGCTTCTAGGCCAGAAAACCTTGTAGTCAGTAAAAGTGTGGTTTTTAATGTAAAAACAGCTGAGAACAACACGTTAGATCCCAAAACAAAATCTATAAAGCCTTTGACTCCATATTATACGCGAGATATTTCAATCACTGAAGAAATTAACGAGGAATCAGAAGCTGCTGACGTCATCACTGACACTCTCACTCGCACTCGGTCAGATGAAGAAATAACACCAAAACAAAGCTACCAAAATAAAAGAAGACATTCAGAATACCCACAGTCTGATTTTAGTAAGGCAAATTTAAAATCTACTGATTTATTGCAAAGTGCACAAAATGATATCCCAGTCAAAACATTGACGCCATCTGAACCACAACAGACCATTAAACATATTGAAAGTGATCCGTTCGATACTTCTTTTGCGAGTAATATTGAGCCAAGTCGAACCGAGTTAAAATTATTGGCAAAAGAATTTTCTTGTGAAGAATCTCAATTTGAAAGTGAGGAGAAACCAGATTTACTTGATCCTTCTGACGATATTTTCCAAGTAAAGGCACTTACTCCTGAACCTTCCGATACCACGAAGTTACCAGAAAACGACTTTGATCCTTTTGATACTTCATTTGCAAGTGACTTAAATCCAGGTCGAACGGAACTGAAGCTGTTAGAATCCGAGTTCTTAAATTGATATACTTATTTTCGCTAGCAAGATGGCCTTCAATCCTTTCTTGAGTATGAATGAACCAGCTGCTCCGGTTGCTGCTGATGTCCTCAATCCATTTATGATGTCTGAAGCAGAACCTGATACCTTTACCGCAGAGAATCCGTTTGCTGCTAGCAATCCATTTTCAGATTTTGGTAGCGGTTATGAACCTCCCGCTGGCGATACCGTTCCTATTGACATATTTGGGACTGCTGATCCTCCAGGAATGAGTGCTAAGCAGTTTGACGAGTTTACTACACAATCTACTGCTGCTTTTGATATTTTTGGAGCACAATCGATACCCGCCAACGGTGAACGTTTACCAAAACCTACTGAGTTAGATTTAATAACAACTTCTACAGACGATATATACGCTAATGAAGACGATTCTCAAGGATCCCAGCAAATATCGCGGCCTCTTCCACCTGAAACGCAAGATTTGATATTAAGTGTTACGGGACAAATGGAATTTACGAGTTCTCATTTGTTGGATCGTATTCCACCTACTCGCACTCCAAGCCCCGTGTCTGTAAGAGATATTCATTCACCGTGTCCTACACCTGAGCCAGAGACCTTGGAAGAACCGGTGGTTACAGAGACTTTTGACATTAACTGTAATAAGCCGGCACGACCACCTCCTGCTCGACCACCGCCTGCTACGCGTCCTCCACCACCTAGACCCGCACCTCCACCTGTACCTCCAGCACCAAGGCCAGTAGCACCAGTTCAGCAACAGCCACAAGATGATATAAACTTATTCGACGCTCCGGCACCTACAGTTGTGAAACCGACAAAAGAAGCTATTTTAAGTTTATATTCTACACCCAAACAAGAAGAAAAACAAGTAGACTTCTTGAGTGATGATTTTTTGGCTGATATTCCGCCAGCTGACAAACCTAACGAAGTACAACCAAAAGTGATCAACACGAATAGTTCCCAGAATATAAGCGAAGCTGTCGTACCATCTTCCACTCCTCATGCTTTCGACAGTATTTCAGAAGACACATCTTCCACAAAAGCTGGAAATCCGATTATGGATGTCGTTTCTCCCATGGATTGTTCGGAACCTCCATCCGCTACGAATAATGTAGAGATTAACTCTTCTCCGTTTGCGGATGTGGTTAGTGACGACAATACACGACATGAGAATGGGAATGAAAAAAATCCGTTTGAAAACATCGAGGTTGCAGATACTACGAGTGGCTTCATGGATACCAGCAGTAACATATTTGGTATAACAAATGCTGATACCACTATGGCTAGTTCTGAACCGGCGGATACAGCACCGGTAGACATGTTTTCAGTAGGACCCGAAGATAAAATGACACCGTCAGAAACCTTCGCTTCCGTGACGGCTGATCCGTTTGGACAAACACAGTCAGTGCCTGCGACCGATCCATTTGCGGATTCACAGATGGAACAACAGGTCGATTCGGGTTGGGGCGAGCCTGTGGCAGATGCGACGATGCACGACGCATTTCCAGAATCTCAAGACGTGTTTGACGCTTTTTCTGCAAAATTTGATTCTACATCGGCTAATCATATAAATACAGGTACAGTAACCTATACAGTAGGTTAATGGAAGAGTGATTTTTCAAATAATTATGTAAGTACTTATTATACTGTGTGATATTAGGTGCCTGGGGTGAGGAAGGAGGCGTATCAGCTACGGGTGACGGGTTCGAGGCGGAGGCATTCGACCCATTCTTGAGCATGGGCGCGCCGCCTCCGCCCGCTGCAACTCCACGTCTCGATCATCAAGGGTCCAGAGACTCCGCTGACGATTCTTTCTCAGTATTCATAAGGTAAGATGTCATTCAAGTATTAAATGAACCCGAATGGGATGGACAGTGGCAGCCTTAGTAGGTGGCGAACAAATTTTCAAAATAATTGAAAGTTTATTATATATTTTTTTAGGCTGTTTGGGTGGTTTCCTGAACATTGATGAAAATACACTCACTGGTAGCGAAAAATAACAATTGTTCGAAAATTTCGTCAGTCCTGTTAGGTCCTGGGTTAGAAGTTAGAGCAGTCGCCCGGAATGCGAAAGAGCGTGGTTTCGTGGTCCGTCTCAGAGCACGTGGGACAAGTGGATAATATTATGCATTTTTCATTAAATATATATTTTATTTAAAACTTTTTGATTTTGATCCTTAATTATTTATTTGTTTATTCGTTATGTAAGCAGTACTTGATTATCGCGCCGCGAAAGATCGGTTTTTGTACAGTTGCGTCTGCTGATAGGACTTTTTAGATAAGTACTTTTCATTAGAGATATTCGGTGATACTACCATTCGTGGTTTTTCTGCGTAAACAAATATAAAAGTAACTTTTGATTTGAGGTTTAATTACTTTATTTTATTAGCTTTATTGATTAATATTGATTCTTCATAGGATTTCTTTGACTTATAATCTATCTATCTATAAATATATACATATAAAAAGAGATGCCCTAACATACTGACTGACAGACAAGGCACAGTCTAAACCGCTGGTTGTAGAGACTTGAAATTTGGGGGTATATTCGTCTTATTACGTAAAGGTGAACTAAGAACGGATTTTTGGAAGTTCCACCCGAAGGGAATCAAAAAGGGTGAAAAAGTTTGTACGAAATTTCTTTGTTTTGGACCTATATCGATGATAATTGGTATTTAGGTAGTTTATGAGCCTAGGAAGGTAATAGGTTATATTTTATCCGGAAAAGAAGTACTTAAACGGATGAAAATGCGAGTGAAAGTTTTTATGGGAATTCAAAATGTTACCATAGCAACCATTCTTTACAATTTGATTTGTCATAGTAGAAAATCTCTATACTATTATTTATATAGATTTCTTTATATTGTGATAATAAATGGTATTTGAGTACATAATTGATAACAATAATAACATATTAATAAATATTTTTGAAAACGTATAAAACATTTTATATACGAAAGAAAACACAAACTATAGTTTTTGTGCTATGCTAGATGGCATAAAGAACATAACTCCGAATTCAAATTAGGAGAATGTGTGATTTTCATTTGATTTTTTACTGTAAAAAAAAGTGAATCTAATAAGAATGCATTATTTTATTACAAAAGGTAAAATACAACGCAAGCAGCAAAATTTTGTGACGTTTATGGACCTAGTGCAGTATTATGAGAGTAGCACAAATTTCGTTAAAGCGTTATTAGACCGGAAATTTTGATGTCAAAGATACATGTCACCCCGTTCGCCATGTTACGGATAAAATAGATGATGAATGGATTTTTGAAAAAGTGAAGTAATATCGGCATGTCAGCAGTTACAACGTAGCTGAAGAACTGGAGGTTGACTCAAAACAGTTTTGGCAGTTTTGACACAAAAATGTTGGATATTTGGGCATCTCACGACCTCACTGAAAGAAAACTAATGAACCGTTTATTCATTTGTGACTCTTTATTACGCAGTAATGAAAACTAACCATTTTTGAAGAAGCTGATAACTGGTGATGAAAACTGGATCACATACGACAAGAACGTGCGAAAAAGGTCGTAATCAAAGGTCGGTCAGGCTTCACAGGCTGTGGCGAAACCAGAGTTAACTCGCAACAATATGACGCTGTGTGTATGGTGGGATTGGAAGGACATTATTCATTACGAGCTGTTACCAGGCAGGACCATCAATTCCGAACTCTACTGTAAACAACTGATGAGATTAAAACAAGGCCAGAATTAATCAATAGATGGGGTTTAGTTTTTATTATGATAACGCTAGACCTCACACATATTTTGCCACCTAGCAAAAATTAAGAGAGATTGGCTGGAAGATGTTAATGTTTCCGCCATATAGTCTAGACTTTACACCTTCAGATTTCCACCTGTTTCGGTTTCTCCCGCCTAACCCTCTAAACAGAGTTAACTTGAGATAGGACATACTTTGGTTACTTTTTATTGTGATAAAAGGGTTGAAATAAGGAATTAAAGTTCATACAGAAGTTCGTCATTGTCAAAGATATAACTAATAAATCTTATATCAGGTATTTTACATGATATAATTAATAAATATTCGGTTTCGAAATGCTATTCAAACTAACTATACCATGCGGAAAAAATCGCGGGTATAAGCTAATATGATATAAATCTTACATAAGAAGTTTTGTTTTTTCAATATTAAAATATAATTAGGCGACTTTATCTACTTAGACTTCGAATTCAATAAAATATTTTAAATACATACGATTTAATTATGTGGCAGGATTTATGAGTTGATTAAGTAAATTAATAATTCGCCCTAGGCCGAAGGAGAGCGAGCCGAGTGGCGGTGAGACGGCAGTGCCAGCCCTCGCACCTCCGCCGCGGCCTCAGGCGCTACCAGAGTCGCCACGAGCTAATCCCTTCGACAAGAGCGGCTTCGAACACCCACCGGAACAACACTACCAAGGTGCCACTCATTCAATACCTCACCAATTCCGCATGCCGCTCAGTAGCTTCAGAGTCACCTTAGTCAACACTGAATATTTACTGAGATAACAACATTGTCAACGATTTTTGAGAACGATATTTGCAGTGCTATTCTGTTGTTACAGAATTAAACTAAAACACTGTGCTAGCACAGATTTAGACGTTCGATCATATAAAACTTATTTAAAGACGTATAAAAAGTTTAATTAAATAATCCCCTATTGCTGAGACAGCACTGCGCTTAACCCTGTATTTTAGCATGCATAGCATGCAACGACCCTTTTAATTCATACTATAAAATAAACTAAAAGAAAATCATTCCTTTAAACAGAAGAGCGCCGACACAGCGGTAGCGGTGGAGAAACCCCACCGACCCCACTCTTCGACGACGATGTGTCCATGCCGCTAGAAGACTTCCCTCGTACCACGTATAAGGGTCCCGGTTGGGAAATGCAGCTCAGACAGCCCAATAAAAAGAAAATCACTGGCCAGAGGTATGCACTTGAAAAATAATTGTTTTTTTTTTCTTTTATGTGTCCCTGGTTTCATTGAACAAGATTAAATTTTCGCTAGGTTCTGGAAGTCGGTGTTTGTGAGGTTGACGTACCAGGGCGACAACCCTGCGGTGCAGCTGTTCAACTCCGCGTCTGACAAGGAACCCTTCCAGGAGCTGCCGCTGCAGGCGTGCTACTCCGTGTCTGAGATCGGCGCACAACAATACGACCAATACGGAAAGATTTTCACCGTGAAACTTCAGTACGTTTTCTACAAGGAACGTCCGGGCGTCAGGTAATATTGTAACTCTTCATCTTGTTTTATTTAACCTTGATTAACTGATTCTACTAAATGAACTAGGTAATGAGTTTCCATTACGAATGCGAAATTTAAAATTGAATAATTGTCGATTATTTTATAAGCCGTGGAAACATAAATCGGTTCGGTTTGTGTAGACCTGGACAAGTGACGAAAGCAGAGCGCATCACGAATAAATTGTCTCAGTTCGCGGCGTATGCTATCCAGGGTGACTATCAGGGCGTCAAAGAGTTCGGTAGCGACCTCCGAAAGCTGGGCCTGCCCGTCGAACACGCTCCACAGGTATGTATAGATTGATCACAAGACACACAAACGGTAGCTACAAAACTTTTAATTCGATTGTGATTCCAGTAGTCTGGAAAAAAAGATGTCAGAAATTATGCACGTGACTTCCATCATTCTACTTCGTGAGCCTGCACGGTCATCTTTGACTATGTCTTTACGATCGCCTTCTGCGTGGACAGGTCTCCCAGCTATTCAAGCTGGGATCGCTCAACTACGAGGACGTGAAGCAGTTCTCGTGCTGTGTAGAGGAGTCGCTGTTCCGTCTGTCGGCGCACCGCGACCGCGCGCTCACCTACAAGATGGAGGAGGTATAACCACCTACTCATTACGCACTTACTTAAACCAAAATCTTTCGTTTCAAATTTATTTCTACCAAAATAAAAGCTGTTATAAACTGTCGTTAAGTAAGGATGAGAAAACTTAATATATCTTATGACAGGATACCGATTGTGGCAAAATGTGAATGTTTAAAATTTTCATGATAGAAAATACAAAATGTATCTGAAATATTACTTTTTACGTATGTTACAAAGTAAATCTGATGCCTCAAGTCCAATTTAAATCTGAAGTCAAGCGATCAGTACTATATTAATGTAACAATCATTTAATAAATAAATATTCACCTATGAAAGTATTATTCACTGCTTTTTTCTAGTGTAAATTGATAAATGTGTGAATCAGGTACAAATCACGGCGGTGGACGAGTTGTACGTGGAGCAGGACGCGGAAGGATGCGTGCTGAAACAAATAGCACGAGTGCGACTGTTCTTTCTTGGCTTCCTCAGTGGTAAAATATTTATAACTGATGTATGATTCTAAAAAAAAACATTTTAGTAGCTAAGGGTAATTTAGTTTTTACAATACTTTCTTTTTGAAATATGTCGGGAAAACAAAATCACACAAAAGGCCAAGGCAATATATAATATTAAAGACTAGTCACTACATCAGTGTCACGACTTGAGTCGATATCAAGGAACAATATAAACGCGTCTGCAGGTGGTAGTGGCGAGCGTTTGTATATTGTAGGCGAGGACTTCCCTGAGGAGGGATATAGTCGTAGTATTGTATGCGTTACAAGGATTACCAGGACGTGCAGGACGTTCGGTTTCGTTCTCTATTGACTAGCGAAAATAACTGACCAAGTGTGGGAATCATGGCATGAATAAATATGGCAATGTTTAGCTAATGGTGGTCGGTGTGGTCAGGTATGCCGGATGTGGAGCTGGGCGTGAACGATCTGCGGCGTCAGGGGCGCGAGGTGGTGGGCCGTCACGACATCATCCCCGTCGTCACCGAGGAGTGGATCCGCGTCGAAGACGTCGCCTTCCACGCCTGCGTGCAGCCGGAGGAGTTTCACAACACGCAGATCATCAAGTCAGTTGTCGATGTCTCTTACTTATACTTACAACACTCACTAATCAGTACCGGATCTGTAAAAGACATGTCAAAGTAGTAAAATTGTTAAGATGTCGTATCCTATGGCTAGAGAGCAGTCCCAGCCCTGTTAGAATATTAAAAATTTTCAAGTCTGTTCGATGAAAACGTTTGATAAAATTAGTTACATTTATTAACGTTACAATGTACTATACGTGTACTGAAATAAATTAGCTACTGAAATTGAATTAATCATACGCGACCGTACCTGTTTGCACGCAGGTTCAAGCCCCCGGACGCTTGCTACATAGAGTTGATGCGGTTCCGCGTGCGACCGCCCAAGAACCGCGAGCTGCCGCTGCAACTGAAAGCCGTCTGGTGCGTCACCGGGAACAAGGTCAATAACACGATAATAGCCACTAGATATCTGGGATGACGATTAACACTACGTTTTATTTTATCGTAATCATTAATCGTTATCCAATAACCTTCAACATTTTCACACAGAACTAGACTCTAATATTACTAGAGAATGTTGTTCAAGCATTGCGGGTACGGGCCCATGGAAAACTCTCAAGTTTTCATTAATTATTTATAAAGTAAGTAGCGTTTGAGATAAGTATTCTTTACCATTTTTTTAAGGTTTGAAGTCGGTTCCATTGTTTAAAAAAGTTTTTATTTCATGCTTTACAGTAATATTGATATTTTTTTTATATAATAGGTAAAACTAAATACGAGTGAAAGTCTTTGAAAAAAAAAATCTATATTTGCTCGACATATTTTTTTTCGATGATTCTATACTCATATTATAAGGAGGAAAGAGTTGATTGCTCGTTCGTGTGCATCAGATAAGCTCCGAAACTATTTCACCGATTTACAAACGTCTTTCATGTACGGAAAGCTACATAATACGCGTTCAACATAGGTTATGTGTCGCGTGGAAACAGCTAGTTTGGTAGAAATTGGTTCATAATTTAAGGAGAAAATCTATTGACATACTCTCATGAAAAATATACATGAACATTGAAAATCCTCCTTTCGGATTTTGAATGAATTCAAAATACGCATCTTTTGTTTTTTAGCTCAGACACATGAAAAACTATTCATATTATCTAAATATTTAGGTGATATATGATGAGAAGCGTATTTTGTTTTGTTATAAAGGAGAACTACTGATTCGATTTCGATTAAATTTAAATGGGACTTAGAATTTTGAAAATCGGTCAACAATGGGTGGAAATATCGGTGAAACTACATAAAATCAAAAACATTAGAAAAATCCGCTTTTATGTGCACTCAGCGTAAGCTTACTCCTACGCTAAACCTTGCTTATTAATAACACTGTACTGGTAGAATTAGAGCTGGTTATAAACCAACTCATTTCATCAGTGCAACTTGGAAATTATTGTGAAGAGTAGCGGGAGGATTACAAAAGCGATTGGAAGACAAAATATTATTATTTTTAGTAATAAAATTGTCTATAGTATATGTTCCATGTATCGCGCAGGTGGAGTTAAGGGCGGATGTGCTGGTGCCAGGGTTCGCGTCGCGCAAGTTGGGTCAAGTCCCGTGCGAGGACGTCTCCATCCGCTTCCCCATTCCCGAGTGCTGGATCTACCTGTTCCGGGTAGAGAAACACTTCAGATATGGATCAGTCAAGTCCGCGCACAGGTATTCTAGTCGTCATATACTGTGTGCACACTGTTCACTATTCAGCGGTGTACAAAAATATATTTTTTAAAGTAGTGACACTACATTATTATTGTCTCGTGGTCATTTTGTAAAAAGGTGGAATGGGATATTAATAAGCAGAAGTAACATGACCACATAATTTAAAAAAAGTAAACTCAAAAAAGATTACTTTTTTTTAGTTTGAAGACGGAAAGTTTGAAAGATGGGACGCCTATATGATATATTAAAATTGCAGACGCACGGGCAAGATCAAGGGTATCGAGCGGTTCCTGGGCGCCGTGGACACGCTGCAGGAGTCGCTGATCGAGGTGACGTCGGGCCAGGCCAAGTACGAGCACCAGCACCGCGCCATCGTGTGGCGCATGCCGCGCCTGCCCAAGGAGGGGCAAGGTAGACTCGCTTATGTGTGCCGTCCGATGTGATCGTATCTTCATGATGGAATTGTAAACGTGTGTCGTGCGGTGTGTGCGCAGGCGCGTACACGACGCACAACCTGGTGTGCCGCATGGCGCTGACGTCATACGACCAGGTGCCCGCGGAGCTGGCGCGGTGGGCGCGCGTGGAGTTCACGATGCCCGCCACGCAGGTGTCGCACACCACCGTGCGCTCCGTCTCGCTGCAGAACCACGACAGCGACCCGCCGGAGAAGTACGTGCGCTACCTCGCGCGGCACGAGTACCTGTGAGTATCGCCGCCCACCACCGACACTGGCCGACATACGGCGACGACGAAATAATAGGAAAAGGTGCACCCACCGATGTCGTCTCGATGCACTTTAGTTCATATCGTATATAAGTATCTCCCCTAGCACTGTCGACTCGACCACAGTATTGTTATTGTGAATTGTGACTATTGAAATGTCTCGATATCTGTTTCTTATGTTAATCTAACAGAAAAAAAGTAGGAGAAACAGTTTAGTGCAGTTAGTCCGGACATAAATCTTATTATTTGAGTGGTCATACAAAAGACATCAACGCATAACGAACGTTTTCTTATGAAGAAAATGATTTTATAGATATCGCTTAGAACACAAAAAATAAGCTACTTAGTTTGTTTAGTCGCTTACGTTGTGCCAGATTTATTATTTACCACTGAAATTAATAAATTACAACTTAAAAATGACGAAGATGGTATTTAAATTAGTATATAATTAATTTATCGCGCTTTACATCAACTAACACTGAATTCAATTTATTAATGATAATCATAGAAAACCCATAAAAATATGTAAAATTAAATGCCAACACACAAATCTATCTTATATATATCCTGAAAGGATGTAGAAAAGTTCAGAAATACTTACACTCAATGAACATACTAATGTTCAGTTGCGATCCAATATATCCAATGAATAATATATAACTACACGTCAATTTTGCAAAACAATCGATATTATCAACCTAAAACGTATACAACCAAATGCGTCATCAAAGATCGAACCCGGGATAAGTTCTGGAACAGGGGTGTGTTCTCTCCGCTGCGGAGCTATACGCACCGAGTCCGCGTGGGGTATGATCATCCGTTTTTCCTTTGTCACTCATGCCCCAACAGGGAGTCCTTCCATCTACACGTGTGCAATGTACGTATCGATGTCGTGTGTGCAGGGTGGGCATAGAGCGCACGAGCGGCGTGTCGGCGCCGGCGTACGAGAGCGCGGCCGCGGTGCCCCCGCCCTGCGCCCCCGCGCCCGCGCCCGCCCCCGCCCCCGCGCCCGCCGCGCCCTCCTCCGACTCGGACTCCGACTAAACTGATACTCGTCACATATACTGTCTGGTCCTGCTACCTGATTTCATTATAATATTTATAAAATTTGATTAAAATATATCATTCAGTGTTATAGCTGACTGTGTAATTATATATTGTCGAGCTATATACAATCTACACAGTTGGGAAACCAGTTCGATGTGGACGCCCCCGCCGCCGCCCACCGATCGCCTGTATTGTGTCAATATTTAGGTACACGGTCGCCTAAAATATGCAAGGATTGTCACAAAATGAAAATTATTTTTTTCAGTAAAACACATTAAGTTTAATAATTTAGATATATAGTTGAACAATTGATATTTTTAAGTAGAAACCTTAATGTCTGAATCAAGCGACGAACGATGACCTTAGATTACAAAATCTAAATCGGTGATTATTTATTTGTACCTACAGTTTTTGTAAATATTGTAACCATAGACTGTTATATAATAATAATAACTAATTCATTTCGAAGTATGTATGGGTCCTACGTGTGTTGTGTTACTAGATATATATTGGTCAAAAAAAATCTACAAAATACTTTAATAAATTGTTAATTCTGTCTTATATGACTCTTGAGTACAAAATAAAATCCTGTGGGACCTGTAAACCTTTAATCTAAAAATACTACAAAAATGATTCTAAGTATATTACATACATGCAATAGCTACCTACCTAGATAGGTACCGAGTAATATCGTTTCCTGACTGTAGAGATTGTAGAGCTTTGATGCGTTTAAAGCTGCTCAAACAGACGAACATAATGACACGAGTATTCTGTGAGCGGCGGACGAATAAGAAGAATATCTACCTTATTGATATGTTTGTGCAATTGTTCATTCTCTGACAGTATTATAGTGAAAATATCAACTCGAAAAAATTATCTCAATGTTAAGTACCGGCAGAATGGTAACATGACTAGATATTAGCTCACCCCGCTAATGTTGCGTGTCCTCTGTATAAATATATTAAATGTTTGTGACGTAGATGTACATAGTCTCCAAAGTCATAGATTTATTATTACCTAGTGCTAGCGACGAAATGTGACATTAATAATTTTAAGAATGTTCAGTTTATGACTTAGTTATCGCTTCGTTAATATAAGTAAATAGTATTTATTTACATATCGAATATAAATATATAGATATAGTGTATGCCAGGTGTGTAGATTAATCTATTGTTTTATTACAAAATAAATTACAAAATGTGGCAATATATTCTGATATTGACCGCCTCTAGCATTTGCTTATATTTAGATTCTATAGGCGCTAAAATTGCTTCATTGATCTGAAACTAAAGATGGCCAATGTATATTTCGGCCATATTTTGTAATAAAACTAATAAATAATGAGAAAGGACTAAGCCCACCGATTACTATCTAGTCGATAAATGATTTAGTCACTAATTAATTACATAGCTACTTTAACACACCTTGAGCTGAGTTATAGACGCTCGGTGTACACGAACTGTGTATATGTGTTGTATTAGGAAGGTGCCGAGACAGTGAGCGACTCTGATGATACGAGATCTCACTTGATTCGGGCACTATTAGATAATTCATTATCATCAATATTTAGAAAAATGTAGAGATGAATATATAGTGACTGCTTGGGGCAGTCCTCCCTAAGAGATAAATTATAAAAAATTGTACATAGTATATTTTAATCAATATACATAATCGACTGTAATATCCTTACAATATATTGCCATTGTATTGTATACATTATCGGGGTGAAGAGCCCCTATATATGGTCATGTAATAATGTGTGTGAATTTAAGGAAGGTCCCATATGATGAACATAAATTGGGTGTGGGGTTTTAGCAATAATAAAACTAAATTGTAATAGTTCTAGACGTTTGTTTCCAGCTATTTATATTTGTAGAATCTACTGCATGTAATAAAATACACTTTAGTTGTGTTACTCGTGGCACAAAATATATTCCATGAAAATTTTTTGAAATATAACGTTAACTATTACTAGTTACAAATATATAATCTTCTATGCTATACTTTTATAAACAGTCTTGAACTCGACGTCGAGAGAAGCGTTGCGTCGCGACATCATAGAACTACAACGGAATAGAACATTTATTACCTTTTGAAGGATGTGACAGCGCTGCGTTCAACGACGAATTCAAGTCTGGTTTTATAACAGAATAGAGCTGCTTGTTTGAGTGTAAACCTGTGCTTATAGTTAGTGTTTTGAACAGTTTATAAGTAAATAGGAATGTGTATTTTGATTGTTAATAAACTTAAAACATGTTCGTGACGCTGCTGTAATGTGATATTGTCGCGTGAACATTCATTATATAACGTGTATAACGTGTATACACACACACGTACAACTATCTACTACTTAACATTATAAGCAGGTATGTTGTTTGTGAAAAAACATCACTTTGTAATCAGTAAATAATATGCATTAAAATGAAGAGTAACGTGTTGTCCGACGCACGTGTGGACGACGAGGGAGTGCATCCAGCCAGACAAGGAGATAATTGTATAAAAATAATTGTAATAGTCGATATTGTTAAGCTAAACTTATATAAAGGAGAATGAAATTATATATTTATTGATACAAATCACGAGTTTGTTTGTATGATAATGATAATTATTAGGCTCTGTTGGTGATGTGTTGCATGTATCCAGTACCTATACAGTGAACCCTGTTCTGTTGTTAATAAAACTATTATGAACGCAGACGACTTATTATTCTATCTCACCCATGTGACGATGTCGAGATACGCGAATGAGATCTGAGGGCCAGGTTGAAATAACACGAGGCTTACAGTTGTCATGTCACTCGCTAGTCGATACAGGAACGTATGCGGAGGCGACCTTCGATCAAGTCGCACTGGTCGAAGGCTCGATGTCACTTCAAGTGGACCTGTTTATGGCTGCTCCTCCTTGTGATGACAATTAGGTACCTATTTATGTTTTAGGAAAACGATACCATTTTATTATAAACAACATCCGCTAGTGCTGCGGTCACACATCACATTATAAAATAGATAAAATTGTCTATTCGTCGTTGAGTCTCTGTTCGATGCTCAGTCAGTCCAAAAATAAACTGTAACGCCCCAAGGGTATCAATTTTCAATAACACAATGAAACGCACAGATAAGTAAATGCACAAAAGCCTTTAATATGGAAAATGAAATAAACTTATATCAATGACTAAAATTCTTAACACCGCCATTTACACAAAACTATAGCGCCATCTATTAGAAATTAATTGAACTAAAAATTCATAGTAACATTTTATACAGTCTCTATATAAATATAAATATTAAAAATTAATCCTCGTATACGTCCATCGATGTCGGTGACGACGAAAACGCCTACGATAATTCTAGTCGTCCCAGGTGGTGGCCACCTGGATGCGTCAGAACGTACGGTAGCCCAATATAGATGTGAGTGGTTCTTTTATCTAAATATTTTGTAAGGTTACTTGTGAATCAAGCAAAGACAGGAGAATTGTAAAAGTGGTGTGCGATCTAAAAAATCTGGTACTTGGACTTGGACTCGGGCACCGACGCGACGGTTACGTTTTAGAAACCATAGAATTGTTAAAGGTTTTCTGGTTATCTATTTTCTGAAGTTGTTTGTGAGTGAGCAGGAATGGTCAATAATGATCTATTTCCTAAAATACCCAGTTTCAAAACTATACAACTATATATGTATTTATTTATAAAAGAAATATTTACACATTTTAATGAAAAAAAATGAAACTTCTCTCGAAGGCTGTCGATTAAAAAAATGAAACTTCTTTCGAAGGCTGTCGATACAAACTTGGGTGTTTATTATACATTTAAATAGATATGGGACAACGGGCAAGCTAAAAATAGGTCGTGATTTTAAAGGGATATTTCAGTTGTGATATTTGCTTTAATGTTCGTTGACATAAAAACCTTTTCTTATAAGTTATCCTTGGAAGTTTTAATTGAAAATCCGGCTCGAAGGACCAATGTTCGGGATAGAACTAAAATGATGAAACTGATAAGATTTGAAAACTGTTATATATTTGCTATACTAAACTTAGAGAGATTATTACTAATGAGGGTGAAAATTGATGTGAGTACGCGCGACTTGATACGCTAATATATGCGAACTGAACTATGTAAAAGTAATTTATTAATTATGAGTAAACTAGGCTATTATAAAAATGATGCGTCGGCAATGTACGGCTTGCTCGTACACACATTAAAACGAAACAAAATAATTTCATTGTAGTGAACAAAAAAAAAATTAACTACAATGAAATTATTTTGTTTGATTTTAATGTGTTTTAATCGACAGCCTTCGAAAGAAGTATCAGAGGTGATTATAGCTGATGATTGCCCTTGCTCCGTACTGTCACTACTCTTATCAAATTTAAGGATAACTTGGTGATCAAAGATAACTTCTACCGAGTATCCGTTGCGTTGGAGGTGTCAGGTCGTCCTTTATTTTCAGGTCGTCCTATATAATTAACAAGTAATAAATTTCGGTGGGCTAAAAAATAAGAAGCGGTTAATTTAATGATTTATTTTTTAATTATATTTAGTATCATATTAATAATACTTTGCTATGTAAAAATGAGATTGTTACCCACATTTCTAAAAATTAAAATGCCACCACAGAAATTTTTTAAATCTATATTCTCGCTAATCATAGTGCAAAATCAATAAAACTCTGGATGATACTTAGTCTAATTCAATTTATTCTTGCAATACTAATCATCTTAGATATACTCCCGATGAAATAATTTGAAAATCATAAATTACATTTGTGACTACCGAATAGATTATCTTTTCGGCGACACGGATTGTAGAAATATTTTCATAAAAGAGTCGATTCTTACCGTTCCTTACCTTCTTCTGATGAGGCAGTATAATTATTTATCATTTTTTTTAATTTTGAAGTCGGTTCAATTTTTTTTTAGTTTTTATTAGTGACTACTATCAGGCGTTTTACATCAGCCAGCCGTGGACAAATTTATAGCATATTTTAATTTTAAACTT